CTGGACAAACACCTCGTTTTCGTACATGGGGCTGATCATAGTGGTCTCCCAGTGCTCGGGCGTGCTGTCTGCAGCAGCCTCGTCGTATGTGGGTGGGTGCTGTTCTTGGGTGTTGAGCTCCGCCTGGGTATCAGGCTTGGCCATGAGGTTTCTAAACACACCGTCTGTTCCCTGGCCAACAAAGCGACCCGGCACGTTCGCCTGAAGGCGTCCGGTGGTCAAACCGTTATTGAGTCTCTGGTACGTCTGCTTGACGGGGAACATGTAGTGGATGACATTCATGAACCTCTGCGAGGGAGACAAGCGGACCTGGTCCGGCAGCCGCTGCTCCTCCAAGTCGGACGACCGGGAGGGCTCTGTTTCGGAGTCTCTGAGGTTTGCAGAACTGCCTTCCGCTGCATCTTGTACGAATATAGGTGAACCTGGGGGCGAACCGGCATCCTCGTATTCTGTCACCAGAGAAGATTCGGCGTTTTCCAGACCCACGAGCGGCTTGTTTTGGTTATCCTCTGCATCCAGATCCGACTCCAGCTGCTCGAGCTTTGTGTATTTCCCCGGGGGTGAAGGCACCATCGGTGATTTATAAGAAAGACGGTAGTAGAAAGGTGTTGATAATGCGCACAGCCAGGCATGCAGCGGTAGATATAGAGAGGCGAGGGATGGACATCCAGAGGGTCGGAGAAAAAAAGGGCAGATTTTTGGGATTCGGCGGATTTGCCTTTTCTTTTATACTTGTGATTTTCAAAAAACGGCCCCTTTTGGAGTGTTCCGAGCTGTCATTGGTTGCCTCGGTTAGGCCTGAAGCCTGCCTGGTGATTTTGCTGGGCAAGGGCGCAAAGGTCACACTACAGGCCAATATGGGGAGAATCTGGAAAAATATTATGGGGGTTGACTGATTTGGACTTTTTGTGGTGAATTGTGGTTAAGGGGTGGTTTAAAGGAAAATAGGGTAAATGGGGGTTGGTGGGTACCACTGGGTCTGACGGTGTTCCATACTCATTGTTCCGTGTATAGGGAGGAGGCCATGGTTCGGTTGGATTTTCATTTTTTTCACGAAAAGTCATTTTTGACGAAGGCGATGGAGTATGGCAACGGGATCTTGTTGTTTGGTGTTGGGAGTAGTCTGGTTGTTTAGAGATTTGCGAGATCTGCTCTACTGTAGGGGCATTGGTCGTCTAGAGGAGCATGGGTTCATGGCTTTGCACAGATCGATTTGTTTAAGACCCGATAAACTCTGAATTTTCAAGTTCTTCATTTTGTGCTTCGTTTATTGAGTCAGTAGTCTACAATAATGTAGAAGTCATAGGATAGCTTTTCAACATCAGAGATTCCATGCTGTGTATCTGGCCTCGTCGATCAGAAATTCATTCACGAATTTTTCTACTCATTTTTGAAAGTAATCGAATTCACTCCCGGCTTTTCTTGCCTTTGCTAACGCTGCCCCTCCATACTCTTCACCCTACACATCACTGGCCTACCATATCATTAAACCTACTTATAACGCTTCCTGAGCTCGGCCAAAGGCTTCCTCTGCTTGAAGAACGACCCAAGAATAAAGTACTGCAACCAGAGCGGGAGCCAACGCAGCACAAACTTGAGAAGCCCAGCACGGTGACCCTCGTAGATATTGAATCCTCTGTGCTTCGCAAGCACCTTGTTCAAGACCCTTCTGGCATAATCGTTCGGCTTAGTGCCGTTCTTGGTCATGTTGGCACTGGCACGGATACTCTCCTCAAGCCCTTCGATCTGGAAAGGCAACTCGGCAATCTTCTTGGAGATGTCGCCCTTCTTGTCCTTGGCAATGTCCGTATCGATACCGCCGGTAATCACAGAGTAAACACGAACTCCGTATGGCTCGAATTCCACACGAATACCCTTAGCGTAAGCGTCAATGGCAGCCTTGGTGCTGCAGTAAAGCGAGGTCCAGCAAAGCGGAACAATAGCAGCCACAGACGCCGTAAACACGATGGCTCCTTTGGCCTGGATGATGAAAGGCGAAAAGTACTTGGTCATCAACACATGGCCCGTGACATTGACGGCGTAAATATCCAACATGGCCTGGTCTTCAAAGTCGTAACCTGGACCACCCTCAGCGATTCCAGCATTGTTGTACAAGAGGTCCAAGGAGTCACTGCCAGAGTGCTCCCTGAAGAACTTGACGGCGTCCTGGACGCTTTCTGATTTTCTGATGTCCAAAGCGAACGGAACCACTCCGTGTTTCTTCAATGGTTCCATCAACTTAAGTGTGTGTTCTGGTGCTCCTCCATACACCTTATAGCCCCTTTGGGCCAAGATCAAGGCCAAGTTGTAGCCGATTCCCGAGGAGGCTCCTGAAACTAAAGCGTAGGGCATTTTGGGGGTTTCAATGGCATAATGGTGGTGTTTTATACTTTCTGTCACATGCAGAGTGGGGTGCTTATCATGTATCGGAGCCGGAAAAAAAGTAACCGAGATCTTGCAGTGCATACATGGGAGGTGACGAAATGGCTGCAAAGTGGATACCCAGTTTGCCAGGGGTTTTTTAGATTTGAATTGGATGTTGTTGTTTTGATTGGGGAGATTTGGCTTTTGGTGAATGGATGGCATTTGGCGGTTTTGGCTCTGATAGCTCCATAAGCCATATAGACCAGTCTTTCAGCACATAATCAGTGAATCTAGAGCCAAACGCAAATAAATGGTTTTCTGGGGCTCTTTACCTAGCAAAGTTAACAAGACGGCTTTGGATCTCCACAGAAGATTGTCTGTGCTGAATCCCCGGCCTCCGGAGCTAACAGGTGTGAACCTCGGCGCACACAATAAAGTGTGGAGATGTTACAATAGCATGAGGGTTCAAGCGAGAATGATCTTTTTTCAGATGCTGCCAAATTGGCATTTCAGCCAGCTGTGCCCCTTAAGTAAGCATATGAAGAAATTCTGGGTTATCGGGTCTTCCGCTTCTATGCTATCTCCGGGATTTACGTCATAGCGCAAGTTTTGTCTAGTGTATGTTGACGATAGCCAGAATGGTCTATGGTAGATGGGATCAAGGGGAATTGATGAATTTCAATGTGATTGGTCAATTGCTCTTAGTAAATTATTGCTGATATCTCCGAGTCACAAGAATAAATTGTCAAGGATAAACGATCAGCATATAAAGACGCTATCGGTGGTCCGTGTGTTTGTAGCACTTACTTCCGCATAACTATACGTCGTTTGCTGTTATGTGGTAGCAGCAAAATACTCAATGTGATTCGATTTCCTCGAATAGGAAGCCTTTCAAGGTAGCTGAATTTGCTAAGGTGTCTTTGGCCTTGCACTTCACCAAATCATCACCACATCATCACTATAAGCTCAACAATGGCCACAAAAAGTATGACTTCAAAGGTCTGAAGCCCGGTACCGAAATAGGTGCAACTATTTCACCGGTTATGTAACTGTAAAACGTAATTTGCCCTCTGAGGAGTTGTAAAATATCTTCACCATTTCCATTTAGGTGGGATCACTGGTGCACTCCGACCTCTATACCTTATCGACGAAGACCCAAAAATGCACAAAAGCAAAAGCAGAATTGGGTCATCGCTTTGATTCGAAATTTCCAAAACCCACAAAAAGCTCCACAGTTCTTGCTGCTTGGCACTTGCAGTGAACAGAAGCCCCAGCCTAGATGATATCAAGGGGTGAAGAGTTTCACCCACTCCCCAAAACGAAAAAACACTAAAAGGCTATCTCGACAATCGGGAGCTGTCATTTGACACTCTCAAGTGACACAAAGCACTGCAAAAGTGTAGCTTCTAAAAAACGACGCCTCGTCATCTCTCACAAAGCAGAGTAATCCAATAAGACTCTCCAACAACAAATTTCCCCTTTTCAAGAATCACCCCTCCCCGTCAAAGGCAGCCGCCGCCAGACCGGAATTGTCTTTCCCTTGTGTAAAATGGGCGTGCCAGTACATAACGCACAGCGCTAGTGAAGGCTATAGGTATTTAGGTTGAACCCTGAGCTTCTCTCATTTGCTGCGTCAAGAAGACCATTTAGCCGCCCTTCACCTGTGCGGCCTTTTCGCCAGTTGATTGACGTCGTCGTTGCAACAGCGTAAGGTTTAGGGTTTTCGGGAGGAAATAAGGTTGGTGATGCGTTTGTCGAAATCGCTAAACATGCCGTTTTCGAAAGAGGCTTGTAAAGGCGTTTGGCACCAGGCGCAGGCAACGGCGAACGGGGACTTTGGCTTGTACGAGGCGCCTGGATGATGTTGTATTTTTTTTTCTAGTAGCTGTACGCCGTTCGTGTGTCATCAAACATGACCGAGGCCGTCTACTGGTGAGCCATAGTAATCAGCAGCTCACCATAACAAACAAAACACGAATAGGGCCATCGTTTGAGGTCTCACGTATCAGCCAATGCCCCAAATAGAAGCATCTTTCGACTTTGGATTATTTATAACTCGAGGTGGTTCAAACAGGCAAAGAAGGCGCAAGCGGCAGCCGCAAGATGTCAAATATGGAACATGTCAAAGGAAAGTGGGCCAGAATGGAGACCCTGGCCAAAAATAAAAACCACCGAAAATAGAAATATCTCGTGTTACTCTCGATATTCTCGAAATCCACAAAGTCCTTCTTCCCCTACCATGACTGCAATTCGCCTTGTTGCAAAAGCTACATCACCGGCGCTGCACTTCCTAAAGCATCAGCAGACGTATGTGGAAGCGACGCTGCGGCGGGCATAAATACAATTTTTTTTTGCAAAATCTTTCTAAATCCCACTCTCCCAAATCTCCTCCAAATCTCCACCAAAATCTGCCAATTTGCGCTCTCTGTCTTTTGACACCATCATGCGCACGAAAAGCTGTCTAACCCATGTGGGCTAATAATTCGCTTATTGTCGAAGCCTGGGGCGCTTGCATACGCCATCCACAACGTGCGCTCTGTATGCACTCCCGGCGCCCCATGTGGATGCAAAAACGCTATTAATCTTATGCCCTTTATAAGCCGGCCATGCCCTCCATTTTCGCTTTCTGAAACAGCATGAAGCTTTTCTTACTACCGGTGGTTCTTGCCGCCAACATCCTCATCACAACCACAGACTCGTGGGTTGCCAAGGGCCCTCGTTACTTGGAATGGGCTCTCAGAGAAGACGGCCACAATGTTAAGGTGGTGGCCTCGTTGAACCCAAACACTGAATACTCCAGCGTGGAACTGGAAAAAAGACAGATCGTCGTGGGCGCCCCACAAGGAGGCGACTTCAACCACCTCCTGCCAGCACAGCAAATCTACCACAAGAACATCCGAAAGCTTAATACGGTGCCCCGTGGGGTCCGCAATACCATCTCCCAGAGGGAGTCCGACAAATTCGACGAGGCTTTTCAAAAACAGGATATCGTCAGGGAAGGCGCATACGGCCAGGACCCACTCAACCCCAACTTCTGGTACGTCGATGCTCAGCCTCTCGAGGCTCTTTCGGTCGCTTTTTCCGACATACTCCCCAACCACCTCCCCACGTTTACTCCTGATTTGGTCATTGTGGGACCCAACGAGGGCCTCCACTTGACCTCTGCTAATTCTAAACAAGACGTTGTGGTGGAGGACCTCGAGCAGATGGACAACCAGGCCGAGGCATTGGCTCTTTTGGCTCAGCTGAAGAGCTTCCCTGTGATCTCCGTTTCCAGCGAGGACCACGACCATATTTATTACGGCGACGAGAGGTACTTTAATGTCGAGGAGGCCAAGTACGAGGACTCCTTCAAGGCCAACCCTGTGGCCAGAAACGTCCAGTACATCAACAGAAAAATCGTGGAACTCGTGGAGGAAGTGGAGCCCACCCTCACGCTGTCTCTCCTGCTCAACGTCAATTTCCCCTCCATGAACCACAAGTTCTCTCACTGCATTGCTACCGCCAAGGGCCCCACTTTCTTCCAGGTTGTGGGCGACAAGGTGCAATCTCACTTGGGCAAGATCCTCAGTGTGCCACACGTTTCGGGCAAAAGAGGACTCGAGGGCCAAACTACATACATAAAAATGTCCGACGAAGGACGCCCCGAGCCCCTCCTGGAGCTCGAGTTCATGAGGTTGCTGGCAATCCTCATCCAACCTTCAGTCCAGAACAGGCTTCACGAAAAGGACGATGTTAGCAAACTTTACCACAACAAGCTTGAGGCCCGGGCCCTTGATCGTTGTGAAATCGCCTTGGCTGTGAACCACGTCACCAAGGGCAACAACTTGGGACCCGATGTCTACAGCATTGTCACTCGTTAATTAATACACATAATAGAGCATCACAGAGGTTGTAGGAAGGCGTTGGGAGGCTATTATCGGGGTCGACTATTTTTTTTTTCTACTTTTTTTTTTTCTGAATTCAAATTTGCATTTAATTTAGAGTATGGTTGAAAGGCTGTGGCGGGAGGTGCACTTTGTTTACATCCCTTTTGTTGCCACTTAATTTAGCAAAGTTGGGCGTCACTCGACTTGAATAGGGGCGACTAACAGCAGCAAATGTTTCCAAACCATTCTTTTAATTTTAAAGTTATCAAATAAAAAGGGAATTTTTAAACAGAACCTTCTGAATTCAAGATGTGAAACAAATGGCCAATTATCAGGTCAAAAGACGAACACAACAACCATAAACCAGCTCAAGGCAAACAGTGACAACTCCACTTTATGACGCAATCAACGCTGTGAATACAAAATGAACCACAGAAGAGGGTTTCCCGTTTTCCATTCCAATGTCGACATGCAAAGCACCGTCAGCCTACTTTTTGAAGCATTTGAATCCCCCGTTACATGGAGGCTTTAGAGCACCAGTCTGTCTATAACAGCCACAGCCTTGAGCTTAGACTATGGACTGTTGCCTCACACGAGAGGTAGGAAATGAAGAAAAAGGGTAAGGTAAAAGATTTGTGTTATGGGCCGAGTGGGATGAAATATTAGAGGTAGTAGATTTGGACCCTTGCAGCGAATCAGAGAAGCTCAAGTTTAATAGTTTGGGAAGATGACCGTAAAAGTCCACGATAAATGACCAATCCGAAGAAGATGAAGCCGAGATTGGAGATGTTGGTTTTTTAGAATAGTTTCTTCTTGAATTGTCAATTTCTTCGATTTTCTCGATTTTCTCGATTCACTCCATTCTTCTCGTAGTAACTATACATAAACAGACACCACTGAGAATCAAGCATTCAACTACACCAGTAAGGGCCAGACAACTTAGGAAGATATTGTCTCTCATTTACAAATCGACAGCCTACTTGACATCTACAAAACGAAAACAATAAAAAAAAAAAAAAAAAACAACCATACACTTCCCATCTACTACCTCCCATCCACCACACACCTTGCCCGGTGCGAAGTTGCAGCCATTTATAGCACACACCACAACCCACAAACAACCACCACATTCCAACTTCCTAAAAAATTCCCAAAACTCCACCTCTTTCGCCCCCTCAATCGCCCTCTTCCCTCTAATTCACAAAAAAACACAACCTCCCCAATCTTCACCCACCTCTCCCTGTGTCTGCATCTGCAAGAATAGCTGCGAAAACCACCACAACCATCCACAGTTACCATGCCAACGTTGATTCCGCTGGTGCTGACCGGACTGGAACAGTACCTCCGTCTTCCCCGTTCCGAGCGGCAAAAGACCCACAAGTTGGGAACCCTCTCGTGTGTTTCGCTCATCACCAATAAGATGATCGGAACGGGCCTCTTCAGCACACCGTCCATTATCTTCAAGTACTGCGACGGCAACGTGCCGTTGTACCTTGGCTTGTGGGTGCTTGGGGCGTTTATTATCTTCAGCGGGCTTCTTATATACTTGGAGTTTGCGCTCAATCTCCCTTTGCAGAATGGAGGTGAAAAGAACTACTTGTTGAGGGTGTTCAAGCTGCCCAAGGGCCTTGCGGGCTGTGTTTATGCGTTTCAGATGGTGTTTTTGGGCTTCAGCTCGGGCAATTCGTTTGCGTTTGGAAAATACATCTGGTACGCTGTTTCGGGAAACCAGGTGGGCGATGACGACTGGACTTCTAAGCTTATCGGTGTGGTCTGCATCACCGGGTGCATCTGGCTCCATATCCAGTTCCCGAACCAGGCGACGCTGCTTTTCAATTTCTTGGGCATGTTCAAAATCGTGATTTTGATGCTTATCATTGCCATTGGCTCCCTTGTGGCTATAGACGTGATAGGCATACCTGAGGCTCCTCCAGCCCAGAATTTGCATACGGGTGTTCTGAGCAACTTCTACTCGATTTCCGTGGCTCTTCTTGAAATCGTGTACTCGTTTAAAGGCTGGGAAAACGCCAATTACGTGCTTTCTGAAATTGCAGACCCTTATCATGTTCTTACCATCGCTGCTCCCATGGCCGTTCTCCTCGTCACCATTCTCTACTTCTTGGTGATCATCAGCTACCTTATTGTGATTCCCAAGGAGGAGCTTTTGAACAGCGGTGTGCTTGTGGCCGGCATCTTCTTCAACAAGGTGTTTGGGGAGTCTGTCACCTCGAAAATGCTCCCGCTCATGATCGCCTTGCTGACCCTAGGAAACGTCATGGTGGTCTCGTTTGCCCACTCCATCGTCAACCAAGAGCTTGCACGCAACAACTACCTCCCTTTCTCCAAAACGTTCGAAAACCTCAACTACTCTCTTATCTTGCACTGGTTCGTCACCGTGGTGATTCTTGTGGGCCCGCCCAGCGCAGACGTCTACGAATTCGTCGTCAACTTGTACATATATCCCGGGACGTGGATCAATGTGGCCATCACGGGTGGACTTGTATACTTAAAGCTCAATGCTGAAAAGGAGGGATGGGGCAGAATGCGCTATGTCGAAGATTTGGAAATTATAGACGACGAAGGCGTGCCCCTGGAGGTCTCCACCACTGCCGATACCGATTTGGACAGCACATCGATCCAATCATACAACCCACAGGAGCAGGAATCGGGCTTCATTGAGTTCAACAACCTCATTCTGAGCCACTCCCACCTTACCACCAAGCACAAGTCGTTTTCGGCCTCGTGGGTGTGTGTTGTTCTCTTCCTCGTTGCCAATGTGTTTTTGGCCATTTTGCCCTTCTTTCCGCCTCCCAAGGGTACAGTCAACTCTACTATTCCATACTGGTGCTTCCCCGTGGTGGGAACAGGGTGCCTTCTCATCGGTGCTGTTTTCTACTTTGGCCGTGAAAAGTACTATTTGAAAAAAGGATGGACCCCTCCTGTCTACGAGGACGAGTACCAAAACTAGTTTTGAGAAAATCAACTCGTCCCAAAACTAGTTTTGAGAAAATCAGTCATAAGACTTTCGGGTTTGCAGCCAACCGAGGCTAGTGCGCATCTGACAGCGTCGACTGTGCACAGTACTGTGGAGTAACTACTCTTCAACAAGAACCATGGAATCCTTATCTGAATCGTCGGCGCCACAGTCGGTGATCCTCAACGACTACAAGTTGGCGGTCAAGTTCTTCATGAACAAGGACTTTGAGAAATCCTACCAGATCATATCCAAGTTACACTCGGTTGCCTATAGAACATTCGCCAAGGGTGCTATCCTGGAGGACGTGTTCGTCAAGATCGTGACATTGTACTTGACGGAGCTCGGTCTTTTGTTGAATTCGAAGGACGGGACGTTCCAGCTTCCCCGCAAGGAAAAGAAGGAGTTGATTGGCAAGCTCAGACTGAGCCAGTTCCTCGACTCCCTCTACGAGATCTACGGCAGCGTGGCCAAGGTGCCTTCCGAATTGCTATACCAGGTATTTCTTGTGAACTACCTGTGTCAGAATGAGATAAAGCAGGGCGACGAGCGGCTCTTGGTCAAGCAGTTTGACAACTTGTACTCGCTCCTCGATTTCCTGGGGGCCTCCAACGATAAATACTTGAGGCGCCTCGTGGACATGTACATTTTCAATGTTTTGCCTGACGCAGATGAATTCTACAAAGCCAAAGAGCTTGTCGATTCGAACCCCTTGGTCGACACCGAGAAGGGCAGAAACCGCATCAAGGAGTTGCAGGAAGTCAAGAAGCAGGAGAAGAAGCTTCGGGACAAGCAGGCCAAGGAGCGCGAGGCCCAGGAGGCCCAACGTCTCGCCGAAGAGAAAGCCAAAAAGAAAGCTGAGCAGGAGAATGCCAGTTTGAAGTACAAGTCCTTGAAGCAGATCAAGAGAGAGCATGAGAGCACCGAGGAGCTTGAGAGACGAAGCAGGAGCCCTCCCAGCAGCGGCAACAGTAGCATTCAACAACTTCGTCATCGTCTCGAGTACCTAATGCGCTTGATGAGAAGGTTCTGCGAGAAGAACTACCCAGTCCTTGTGATTATATTCATTGCCAGTCTCATTGCTCAACGCTTCATCCGCACAAGACGGATCAACGTTTTCCAGAAATTGCAGGATACCTTCAGAATGGCGTTCAAGATTACCTATTTATAAGAAGATTGGGATTTCTACGGGCCCGTGGACCGACACATCATGGTCGTCCTCCTCCCGAGAAGGCTTTTGCCGTTTTGATGCTTGCCCCGACGGTGTTTCCGTCCGCAGGGGCTTTTTGAAAGATGCATACGATAGAGTGCTGAGCTCTGGCGGCTCCACGGCTGCCTGTGCTGGGACCCTCGCTGGTTCAGCCACTCTGACGTCTTCAGTCACCAACTGGTCATAGTTTTCAACGTAATGATAATGATTGTCATCAAAAACACCGTTGACGTCGGCGGCGTTCAGCTGTTCGAACTCGTCGCCCACTAATGCTTTCTCTATAATATTGAATGTAATAAGTGAGCCAGGGTAGTTGGCCACTCCGGGATGCTTGCAAAGGAGTTGCAAGGATAGTATACCAGATACGTCCTTCATGATTTTGCACTTGGACAGGAGTTTCACCGCCTTGAAGATCTTGATAAACGGCGAGAAGGAGAAGCACGAGAGCACCGAGTCTTTGGTGGGCTCCATAGTTCCATTCTCCACCTTGAAAATCTCTAGTTTCTCCATCATCGTCTTGGCGCTAGGAAACAAAAGTTTCAGATACCCAATGGCACCGCTAGAAATGAAATTGAGCTGATTGGTCTCCCGTTTGTTGGATCCGTCGTTGGAGACGTAGATGTACAAGCTCTCGGTATTGATATGCTGCAAGTCTTGGAGAAGGACCGTAAGGAGGTCACTCTTGACAATGAGTTCAAATTGGACCATATCATGACGAACAAGTAAGTCACCACTCTCCTCTGTCTTATCGTACGGATAGTCCATATCAAGGTAGAACGTAGCGAACTCGATCTTCTCACTCATGAGTCTATCTTCAAACTCAATCACCAACGGGTGGCCCTCTCCTCCATACTTTATGTAGCAAAGAACAGTTTCCGGCTTGGATGCTGAATTTTTGAATTTGGGTGCCAATGTAGACGCGGCAGCTGTGAATGAATCTGCAATCAACTGAATATCAACACCCAATCGTAGTTCCTTGGGTCCGTCTAAAGGTTGATCCAGATGCAAGGAGTATGACAGGAACAAACTCAGGTCTATTGTCAACTGGACATTGGTGATGTGGTTGTACTCACTAAACACGACAATGCCGTTATCTGAGATGATCATCAACGCATGGGAGCTGATGGAGGTGACGGTATTTAGTAGATCTGCGATATGACCCACATGGGAAGTAGATGCGGAGAATGTGATATTTTGATTTTGAGTAGACTCTAGGCCTGGTTCTGGCGAAGACGGTAGAAATAGCTGGGACATCTGGAGTAGTAGAATAGAAGCAGTAGCAGGGTGCGCGCTAACATTTTATTGAAACAGACGTGCTGCTGAAAGAGGTTCTAGTCGTTAGTTATTATGAGGGGTGAAAGGGTGAAACTCACCATAGGCAATCTGAGTGCAACTTACACGGTAGTATGCATCAGGTCAAGTCGAGCTCGAAGACCAAGCGTCAATTGGGGCCCTTAGTAGACCGCAATGTAGTTATCGATTCTGTTCTTCTGGTTCTGAGCGATACATTCGGCGATCCACGTAATGTTTCTCACCTCCTGCTCCTTGGAACGCAACCAGGCCCACACCGTCAGCAAGGTGAACTGCTGCGTGAACGCCTGTTTGTTGTATTGCATCTCCAACCAGTAGAACCAGTCCTCGATGTTTTTGGAACCGCTGCTCAGAGCGTCTCCAAACAACTCCTTGTACTCGCCAATCAGCTCAACTATGTTCTTCACCTGCTCCACGTCCTCGGCGGTGGAAAGCTGGTTGTGGTATGTGGGGTACAACTGACCGTACGAGGGGAACAACGAGAGCTTGTCCTCAGGGGTCAAGTCAGGGTTGTTCAAAGAGTTCAATGCAATGTTGATGACTCTCTTGTCGGCCTCAAAGTTCAACAAGCGTGTCATGATCTCCTGGTCAGGGCCGGTGAGCTCGTTCTGGACAAACTCCACAAAAGCCTCGAGGTAGTTTCTGTACAATCTGTTTCTGATGATCTCAATGTTCAAGTCATCAAGGTCGTTGATTGTCAAACAGTCCTTGAAAAAAGGAGCCAAGGGCGTGTCAATCAACACAGTGTCGTACAACGACTCGATATCCGTGGCAATGGACAAAGTGGGCAATGTCTCGAACCAGCCCAAAGGATGACACTTTGGCAAGATGTCCTGACAGTCTCTCTCGTGAAGCGTGCCTGTGATCATCAAGGAGACATTGTCAATCATGTAGCCATAACAGATGAAATCCAAGAACTTGGTCAAAGTACCGGCACTCTGGCTTCTCAAGTACTGGAACTGCTGGTACAATTTGCCCAGAAGCCTCTCCTGCATCACCGAGGTCGAAAGCGGCCCGCCGTAGTTCGATAAGAAGTTGCCGTAGTCGGTGGCAGATAACTGCAATTTCAAGTCCTGAAGAGAGTCACATTGTGTCAAGTTGACGTACTGGGACGAAGTCAAAAGACCGTTTCTGTACCCACGTACCACACCTTCCACATACCCGTAGTCGATGTTGAAAAAGAGACCCTCCATGGTTGACGTTTGCTGGAGGTGAGGACAGATTGATGTGTGGGTAGTATCAGGTTTTATATGCAGGTCACTTTATTGGCCCCTTCAATCCTCCGACCTCGATGGGCAAATTTGGACGAAGTTTTTGATTCATCATTCTATTAACGATTAAGAAGGAAGGATTGATGGTGTGATCTGTCAATTGATGGCAATTTCGAAATCTGACGAGAATGGTTGCAAATGTGAGTAACAGTGATATTCAGGCAGGTACTCTACCCACTCATAGTCAATTGCAAATTTGCAATATTCAATCGTTCAGAAAAACAGTTTGTTGAACTATAAACAAAAAAACAAAGTCCACCAAACTAAACATGCCTCCGTATCATTGACTCTATGGGTCCCTCCTATAACCTACCTGCACTCCAGCTTATTCGACACGTTCTACGTTTCGTCAATTCCACCATAAGTCGCCAAAACTTACTTTTCAAAACATCTATATTACTTCGAATCTTAAGATCTTGAATCCCTTGTTTCTCCTTTCTTTTCACTTGTGCACCCCTCCAAGTGAACCCTTCTCATTATACCACCACTATCAGCGCGCTACATCCACATACTACAATCCAAGAACCATGTCGTCGATTCTTCTCGACACCCTCAAGGATGGGCTTGATCCTGGGCTTGCGGGGATGCTTGAAAAAGACCCAGAACTCAAGAAAGATACACAGCAGTACCTTGAGGAGCTTTTGGTCAATTCAGAGCTACTATCCACTGAGATGTTCACATCTTCCACTGAGTCCAAGGGAAAGAACCTCGTGGAGGAGATTGCCGAGCTTGACCACCAGCTGCGTCAGATTGAGCTTCAGTTGGCAACTATCGCAAACGAAAACCGAGACTTGATTGTTGGTGTTTCTGAGGATGTCAAGCTTGTTCATAACACCATTGGTGAGGAATTGAACAAGAACATTGCCGCTATGAAACAGGGGTTTGAGAGTAAAATTGCTGTTGACAACAAGGCGGTCAAGAAAGTCAGTCAGGCAATCTCGGCGAACAACTCCATTTTGCATAACATGGACTCCATTCTCGATATATATGAGCTTCCCACTCTCTGTGGCCTTTGCATAATGCAAGGTAACTACCAGGAGGCATTGGAGATCCTGACACTGGTCAAGATGCTTACTGTGAAGTTCCCCAACCTGAAGACCTTCAAGCAATTACAAAGCCAGGTTGATAACGAGTTGAAGCTCATGGTGAGGGGCCTCATAAAGCTTCTCAATACGAACTTGAAGCAGTCCAACATCTTGAAAATCTTCCAGATTTTGAACAGACCACATCTTGTCACCTCTGAAGAAGATGAAAACGACCAAACGATCTCGGGTAACAAGACGCTCAAATTGATCTATCTCAACTCGAGGTTCAAGTTTATCATGAACGAGGTGGCCAGCCTTCAACCACTTTTGAAATTAAAGAAACTCACGTACCTCAAACGCTACATTGAGATCTACCGTGAGCATCTCTACAACTCGCTATCAATCTATCACGCCATCTTTCTATCAACGGGTCTAAAGTCCGACACCAACGACGACAAGCTCTTGTTGCACATGTACATAAAGAAATTGGTGTATTTGATGGTCGAAGAGCTCCGCACACATCTTCCAAAGGTCCAAGAAGGCGAAAATACTGCTGACGAGGTGGAGTTGAACAGCTTGAGGGACGGCGTCATCTTGCAAGTTATATACTTGTGCAGATCGCTCTCCAAATACGGTCTTGATTTCGAGAGTCTCATCACTTGGGAGCTTTGTGTCAAGGAGCCTTCACTTATAGCGCAAGAGGACTGGGCCAGGAATTTGTCCAAGTTGAAGAAGTTTAAGTCCTGACTGGGCCCATGTTGTTCAAGCCGAACAAGTAACCCAACTCCTGTCTTCCAAGAGCGCTGCTCTTCTTCAATTCTGTACTGTCGAGTGCCGAATTCACGAGCTCCTTCTTTCTATCCTGCAAGTTGACGATTCTGTCCTCCACTGTGTCTGTCACAAGCAACTTATAGACGTTAACAGGTCGCTGTTGACCAAAACGATGGGCTCTGTCCATGGCCTGATCTTCCACAAAAGGATTCCAGAAGGGGTCCATGATAATGACGTGCGACGCACAGGTCAAGGTCAAACCGACATTACCGGCCTTAAGTGATATAAGTAAGACTCTTTCGCTCCCTTGATAAAACCGTTTGATCGTCGAATTCTTTAAATCAATGTTCATAGTTCCATCATAGCGCAAGTGTTCAATTTGGCTGTCTTGGAGAGCTTTCGCCAAGAGATCAAAAGTTCCAGTGAAGTGAGAAAACACAATAATTTTCTCATCGTCAGAAGATTTCACCACGTCTCGTATAAGATCGAGCGTCTTTTGAAGCTTCGCTGACAAGGTAAAGCCACCATTGTCATGTATAATCTTATTAATCTTCTCGGTCGTTGAAGTCTTCTTCGCCTTCCCCAGGCCGTACTGTGCTTTCAAGTCGTCGAAGCTGAGATTTTCGTTGACGATTTGGTCATAAATTTTATAGCTCACCAAAGACTTCTCAGAGACGGGTTGCCGGCAAATCGTACATGCCACTGTACCATCGTCATTAGGGTCTTGCTCAAAGAAATTGCCAACACAGCCATCACAAATCATGTGTCCACACGGATGTAGTAGAACAATTGCCGTTTCGTCGACAACGTCAAGACACATAGGACAAGTCAACTGTGTGCTGCCTTCATCAAAATCGTCAAGATCAACAGGCATTACTCTATCACTCTTTCTCAAATCTTCTGCGATCCTATGTCTCACATGTTCGGGGAAGTTCTGGGAAAGGGCATACATTGTCTTCCAATTTTGAACTCCGCCATACCCTTCCTTATTCTCCGCTGCATTCAACTCTCCAACTTGAACTAGGATTTCGTGGATGCACATCTGTCTCAACCTCAAAAGCAATGTAAGAATGTTGCTGTGTGAGTTCTTGTGTTTCGAGTTGAGAAGCCTTTCGGCCTTCTTCTGAATTCCAGACTCGAGGTCCTTGTACTCCTTAGCCTCCTCTGCATCCATACTGATGACAACCTTTTTGACTGTTTTCTTGGGCAATACCATGAGAGGCTTACCATCGACTTTGGAATCCTTCGTCCGGCGAAGCATAATTGCCAGAAGAATTGCTCTCAACTTCTTCATTGAAACGTTTCTGTCGTACTCATCAGCCTCATTTGCATTAGACCGCATTGGCACTGAGATATCACGTTTGAATTTCACTTCGTCATTGTAGGGTCTTGTTCTAAGGAATCGAAGAATGGGGTATAATTCGTCCACACTGTTCTGCATTGGCGTACCCGTCAAGCAGAGACGATGCTTCGATTTGACAAGAGCTGTGGCCTTAGAAGTTTGCGACACCTTATTCTTGATATACTGCGCTTCATCAAGAACCACTCTATAAAATCTTGCGTCCCGAGAGAAAAATGGAGAAGCATAAACTGTACCACCCAGGTTAGCATCTGGAATGACGTTCTGGCCGTGGGATAACATGGCTTCCTCCAAAACTTGAGCATAGTGCTGCTTGAACTCAGACGCTAGAGTTGTGTAAGACACCAAAACAACGTCATACCTTTGCATTTTTCTGAATGTGTTGATTTTCTTTTTGTCAGTACCGTGGAAAAAGGCAACTTTCTGTTTGTGTTCCATGTTAATCTTAGCTCTGAGTTCAGCGTTCCACTGTCGTAAAAGGGAAACAGGCCCCACGATAAGAGTGGTTTTCCTGTCCTCATCCTCTCCCTTTGGTGGGTTCGCCATCAAAAGTGCGATGGTCTGAACTGTTTTTCCAAGACCCATATCGTCCGCAAGAATGCTACCTTGTTCTTCCTTCTCACGTTTAAGAAGCCAGTGTAATCCACGTCTCTGATGATCTAACAATTGTACACTTAGTTCCGAAGGTGTCAGTGCCATGCCCTCGATCTTCTCCTCATTACCCACGTCTTTCAAAAGCTCCTGAAGATGAACAGTGTCCTCGTAAACGTTCTGAGTTTGAACATCTGGTCTATAACCTGGCAAATGTGGCGCATGGTAATTAGGCGGCGCGTTAGATGGGGGCACAGAGTAGTTGAAGAAGGATCCCTGGGGACCTTGACTTGGATGCTGGCGGGTATTGATGTACATCGTTCTTCTCTTGTAGCCCATGACATCAAGCAAGATGTTCTTGTACCGTCTGATCTTCTTTGCCCGCTCGATCGCAGTGTTTGCCTCCTGAAGCGACGAGTTGATTTCTCTAATCAAGTCTGCTCTGCGTTCGGTATCATCCAACGAGAGTGCCGCCATACTATTTCTAGCTTCACTCATGTTCCTCAAATACGAGTCTCTTATATTCTTGAACCTCGACATCTGAGCATCCAAGCTCATGGAGTGTGCTTCTAGCTGAGGCATTTGCTGAGCAAGGAAGTACTCTGCAGCTTTGGCGTCTTGTTGTGCTTCTAGGGGATCCAGCGAGTATACCTGAGGAGTGAATTGTTGCACCAGCGGCACTGGCTGGTTGAATGAGGTATTGGCAAGAGCAGTTTGGTAGGCCAGGTTCAAGTCGTTAGGTCGCTGTACTGGGGGCTGTTCAAATGTCGTGGTCTTGAACTTACCCATCTTTTCTGCTTCTTCCTTACTGAGGACTGCAATTTCGTCGTCGGAGTCCTCCATGCTATTATCCTCAACTTCAGCCGGTGGAGGGTTGGAGATGTGATTCTGTTCTAGGTTAGGGGTGGGCTGTACACCATTAAACTGCTGTAAACTGGGCACCAGCGGCTCCGTCCGCTCTTGTTCTATATTATGTGATCCGCCATTTTGCTGGTTTTGCTCGGCTTGTTTCAAAAGAGGGGAGCTGCCCACGCTGGGCGTTGGAACTCTATCATGGAAGACAGGCGAGGGATTCTGAACTGGAGATTCCTTCTCACCTGAATAATCAGCACCTGCCACTGACAGATCACCTTCTTCGTCACTGGATAAAATGACAATAACAGAGTCTGTGTCCAGCTCAAGCGCCACCTGATGTCTATGTGGGTTGAAGTACTTTGACTTCCTCTCTTCCCCTGAGGACTCTCCACTTGCATAACCTCCTACTGGAGCCTCACGGGTATCAGGTTCTTTTCTTTTGGTTCCTCTTGTCTCTAGAGCACTATCATCATGGCTTTTGCCGTCATTATCGTATTGACTAAGCAGCTCCCACCATTTAGTAGGCTCCTGAGAAGTGGTGCTGATCTGACGAGGTATGCTGTTATTCTCCGGTAGCGTTTCGGGAAAGTTTTCATTGTTGTTCTCGTCGTCCGAAGACACCACGATCACGTCGGTGGAACGAACCAGCATTGTCGTGAACCAGGGCTATTTGGTCCTGTTTATGTGAGTTGTTTATATGATGTGGTGCGAATCGAGATAAGCTCGACTACATGAAAAATATAGGGAGTTCTATTGTACACGGCGGAAAATAGTAGAAAATTACCTCGCCCAGCATCCATAGGGTCATCTTACGTGAAGACCTTGCGTGGGCCATTCTCTTGCCAGATTAAGGGGCGGTTTGATGCAGATCAAAGGTAGTCGCCATTCTCCTCGAGAATCTTGTCCAAGCAGATGTCCAACTCAGTGATGAGCCTGTCGTTGTCTTCGTCGAATGCAAGGCCACGCTGGTAGTCCGCTCTGGCGTCCTCGTAGTTGCCCAAGAAGTAGTTGGCCACGCCTCTACGCAAAAAGTTCTCTGGAGTGGTCATCATCATGCCAATCAACATGTCAGCGTCGTTGAAAGCCTTCAAGTACTCCTTGCACTTGAGGTAGGCGTCAGCTCTGCTCATCAAGAGGAGACTGAGCTCCTGCAAAGTGGCCAGGAACACCTCGAACTTGTTTCTTCTGTTGATCACCTCAATGGCGATGGTGAACTGCTTGGCCAGGTCCACGAACTTCTCCTGCTTGAAGCTCTGGACACCGCCTTCGTAAAGCTTTTTGATCATTTTGGACAAATCCTTGTTGAAGGACTCTCCGGTGGGTTTTGGAGGATATGGGTCGTTTATGCCAATAAGCTCGGTTGTGAGCGTGCTGAGCTGTTCAAGCTCGAGGTTGAGGGCAGGTGTGACCTCCTCAGGTTCCTCTGCAAACACAACCCCCTTGGTTTTAGGGTCATATCTAATATCGAACTCCATGGTGTAGTTGATAGTGGAGCTTTTCGACAGGTGTAGGTGAGCACCTGGTGCACGGGTGCACAATTGTCCCCAGCCTAGTAATGAAGGAGAACGGTCAAGGTCAAAATCAGCATAGGGATGGTTTAGTGTCGTTTAGATATCAAAAATGACCAAAGTAAGCGAATTCTTCAAAAACTAGTCCATTGGGGGCGCAAATGTACGATATTTCCGAAAGTAGTTAGAAGGTCCTCCCCAGCCTGGTATGTATCAAAGGAAGCCGATTAACATACTATCGACGTGTAGCGATGAAACTATGCATTTTTCAGATGAAAGCATTTCCATGCCATTTTCACTTTGCAATGTATCTCAAAGTGTACATTGGCTCATTTGGATACTACCCTGCGAAGTGCTCTTTTTGCAACCATTTCTCTTCTGTTCACAATCCCCAATGGCAGCAGTGGTTCAGCCACCCTTGAACCTAATAGACCCTGGATCAACAGAAAGCCTTCTGGCGCTGTCGCTAGCCCATTTGGTGAAGTTTTTTGAATCCTACGAACTCAAAGATGATGGGGAGCTTCCTACGGATCTCCACCCAAAGAGCGATCACGAACTGGACAAGGAAGAGGATACAGACAAGGAGGATCTGGAAAGTGTGGCGTCCACTTTGCCCAAGCCGTTGCCGAAAGGCAAGATCAAGGGAGAGGACGAGTCCAAAACCGAAAGGACCCACTGGTTCAGAAGAGTCGTAACCATGAGGTTTGGAACATGGTCAGAGAGAAAAGCCACCACGAAAGTCACCCCCGATGACATTTTTGACCAAAACGAGCCTCAATCGGAAACTGCTTTTGGAAAGGAAGACTCCCATGAATCCCCCAATAGTGTCCCAAAAGCATCCAACGCAGCCACTCTTCCTCAAAAGCTCAGCAACTTCAGACCCTCCAGGTCTCGATCGCTCACTAGCAGAAGTCTCGCTGCTCTTTTCATCCGCAGCCAAATGTCCACCGATCGGCTCGAGGCGTCTGTGTTTCTGCCCTACAATCACCAGCCCACCCTAGAGGACTTTCCTTCGATTACAGATGTCGAGGACATGTCGGCTGCCAAAATCGAGTATTCTACACTTCCGGCCGAATGGAACGGGTACAAGCACGAAGCGTTGAGGTCTTCCGATGAGGAGCTCGAGCCACGTACCAAGTGGGGTGAATGGAGAAATGCCAAAAGAAGAATGCAGATGCTTAAAGGCAAGCTCAAGCTGAGTTTAGCGCTGGGAAAGAAGCGGACCAAGGGGCTTAAGGTGAGATTTCTTTCTCCTTCTGAAGGTCTGAACAGGCTTCATAGGCCTGCTGGTGATAAGGTGGAGGAGGATGTTTTTTCGCCGTTATCGGGTAGTGATGATTTCGAGCGGTTGTTCTGAGCAGATGAGAAACCAAAAAGGGAGGCAGCGTCTTGAAAAACGAGAGATTGATATCAAGCTGAAGGAGGAATATCTCAAGGCCGCTGAGGCAAAATTGACGGCTAGACAACTTGAGCAGGCGGCAACAGATACAAAAAGCCCTCTCGAAGAGATAAAGGCCAAGCTCCGAGAAAACGAGACTGACATGAAGAAGTTTCGAGAGATTGCCAATACGGTCAATCGATTTTTAGATCGTTGAAATTGAATCTACAATTGCCTTGAATTATTATTTCTTCCCTGTTTCCACGATCTCTGTATGTTGCTCGATTCCTGTCATTATCCAGGGTCCTGTCCGATCAGCCTTGCCTTATCTACCGCATATGTAGACCCCCGTCTAAAATCCAAAAATCCACAAATCCACAAAACCGCCAATCATAAATGAAACTCACTTTTGAAATTCAACAAAAAATCTTCTCCCAATTCATCATCGACCAGTGCACCATCAACAGCACCTCCCTCCCTTGGCGCCTGACTCATAGATTTCGCAGCCATTTTTTCGCGATAACCACTTATCACCACCATGTCTTTCAACCTCGAAACACTCATTCGCCCCAACATCCGCACCTTGGAGCCCTACAGATGTGCACGTGACGACTTCAAGGAGGGCATCTTGTTGGACGCCAACGAAAACACCCACGGCCCGGCCCTCAGCAACATCTCCTCCTGGGAACTGGCCTTGGAGCTCAACAGATACCCCGATCCTCACCAGTTGGAGTTGAAGCAGCAGATCGCCAATTTCAGAAACTCGGCCCCCAATCAGCTCGTGGAGAGCTCCACCAGGAAAATCGACGCCGACAACCTCTGTCTCGGTGTGGGTTCAGATGAGAGCATAGACATGTTGTTGAGGTGCGTTTGCACGCCTGGTAAGGACAAGCTTTTGGTGTGTCCGCCCACGTACGGAATGTACCTGATTTGCGCCACCGTCAATGACGTGGAGATGGTCACGGTGCCATTGACGACGCCCGACTTCCAGATCGACGTGGAGGCCATTTTGGCGAAATTGTCCGCAGACCCTTCCATCAAGCTCATCTACATAACGTCGCCAGGTAATCCGACCGCCAAGCTCATCGACTGCAAGTTGATTGTGGATTTGCTTAAAAGAGCACAGGAATCGTGGAACGGGTTGGTGGTGGTGGACGAGGCCTACATTGATTTCGTTGACCCGACTGCTCCAAACACCTCCCAGTCTGTATCCACCTTGGTGAACCAGTTCCCCAACTTGGTGGTTCTCCAGACGCTTTCCAAGTCTTTTGGTCTTGCGGGTGTCAGACTTGGTATCACGTTTGCAACCGCTGGCCTCTCCCGCTTCCTCAATGCCATGAAGTATCCTTACAACATTCTGTCCTTGACCTCCGCAGTAGCAGTGCGGTCTACTCAAGCAGAAGACGGACTCAAGGTGATGCAGGGGTACGTCAAGAAAATCAAGAACGAAAGAGCAAGGCTTTTGGAGACGCTTTCGAAAATCGACGGAATCGGCAAAAACATTGGCGGCTTGGATGCCAACTTCTTGCTCATACAGATTCTCGATTCTACCGGCACCCCATCGAACGAGGTGGCTGCGAAATTGTACAATACGTTGGCGGTTGAGAACGGCGTGGTGGTGCGTTTCAGGGGCAAGGAGCTCAACTGCACCGGCGCCTTGAGGTTGTCAATCGGCACGGAGGAGGAAAACGCCACCTTGGTGGAGAAAATCACCCTGGTTCTTCCCACCTTGAGGTGAGCTCACCTTAGGTGAACTACGGGTATGTAGATATTTATGGTTCGCGCACGCCGCAGTGTAGATAGATTTTTTCAGCTCAGGTACTCCAACCTACACCAAGTGAAAACCATGGCCAGGCAGAATTTCGTGGGATTGGTCGTGTCCCAAGGTAAAATGAGCAAGACCGTGAAGGTCCGTGTTCAGGCCAAGGGTTACGATAAGAGGGTCCACAAGGAGGTGCTCAAAAGAAAGGACTACCTCGTCCACGACGAGGGAGATCTCTGCAAAGAAGGCGATATCGTCAGAATCGAGTCTATTCCCAAAATGACCGAAAGAAAGTATTTCGCCATTGCGGAAATCAAGATCAATAAGGGTCAGCAGTTCGCCAAGTACCAGGAGTTGGCCAAGAAGAAGGTGTATGCTGAGGAGCAGAAAAAGAGAGACGAGCTCAACGACAGAAGAACGTTGTTTGAGGAAGACATCAAAAAGATTGAGGATTTGAAACAGCTAGATTCCTTGACCAAGGCCTTCTCCAAGGTGCCTGAGGGCGAGAGGGAATCGTACCTCAAATCGATCGACGAAATCAAGAAAAGATACAACATCACGCTGTGGCCATCCACCGAACAAGTGGTGCCACTTTCTCTCAATAATGCTGCCAGGGACCTCAGCACGATCGACAACAGACTAGCCAATATCCACGTGATTCTTGAAAAGTTGATGAGCAGCTCGTTCGAGGGCCAAAGAAAGGAGATTTTGGAGAAGATGGGCAAAAGCACCGACTTGAAGCCACACACGGTGAAGAACATTTTGCGCAAGTGGGTTCTCGACCCCAGAAACGATGTCCCTGTGTCCCTCTAGACACCTGTAAATAGTAGCATATAATGGGAGGATTACCTGAGCTGTTGACTGTGTAGTATTCGTCTGACCGTCACATGAACTACTCATGTTGGACAAATGAAGTTAGGACAGAGCCTTGAGCTGTTACCATGGGGGACTCGATCTGACATGCAGAAACCACTGTCATGGTTGATCTACGTGTAACCACCTTTATCCCTTCGATTTTGCAGCCAGCACTACATAGAAAGGGAATAAGAGTGGTGGAAAACGGAAAAGAAATCAGCGTTTGATAAAAATGCCCAAGACTGTTCAACAAAGCCACACTGAGACCACACCAGTCAATTATATGAGGAATTCGCTTTATAAGTCTTGTTTCGGGTGGAATGGCAAGCGTTTGATTGTCATTGCACTTCTCATTTGGCAATAATCAAGTTAAATTTCCGCATCCTGCCATGTTTCCTTCCATCAACAGTGAGATACACCCATACTCTGATAATGAATTGTCGAGAATATCGGGAGCTTACTTTAGAAGGCTGTAGATCAAGGGGAATTACAGCATCAAAGGTCTCTTCTGGTAGCATAAAAGCACAGGCAGACTGACTACCAGGCACGCTCTCTTTGAACTCACTCCATCGTATCGATGGCAATTTAGTCTTCTCCAGCAACACCTTTTTGCTCTTCAAAACAGTAAACCCTGATCTTTCGATTGAAAAGAGGCATACTTCAACATACGTGAAGTTCATGCTGTAATCTTCCACTTGATTCTCGCGAGAAGCGGCTTGGAAACTTTGCGGAAGAATATAAGTGAAACTGATAATGTCAGACAACTTCATTCCTGGTTTTGCAATTGCATCAAACCCAAAAGACTTAGAAACTTTATCGTCAGGCATTACGATACGCGAAGCAAGAGGAACCTTCTCATCTCCCAATAATGCTATAATATCCAAGGCCCTTACACGTCGATGAAACTGTTCAGGGGGGATTGCTTCGACAACATTATTTCCCACCATTAGGCAACCCATTGCGTAAGGCTTTTTTGAATTACTCATATCTCCTCCAGGAACTGGATTGCTTTGTTTTTCTCCCCGCCCACATTGATATATACCACCAAAATATGCTTTGCACGCTAGCTTTGCATAATATAACCTTAGCGATTTCTTGAAATATCCAATGAAGCCGTTTGAGTCTGTCGAGTCGAGATCTAAGCAATTACTACGGGAAGATTCAATGGAAAACAAAAGGCATCCCGCTGAACCATTTCGATGGGACAGGAGCAGGTATTGATCAAAGTCACCACTGAAACTTCGCAACTGATCTTGATAATTTGCCATGTGTTTCTCTAGCGCCTCTTGACTCAAAGGAGGCGCAACATCATAGTAGATATCCCGAATTTCCTGGCCCGGACATTCTTCAAAGTTTATGCGTTCCTCTTTCTTTTCTGCTACATTCAACTCAAGGAATGTGGATGCAAGTATACCGGGGATGCTCTTGTGAACCAACTTCATCGTGATCTTCAAGCCATAGCTTCTCGTGAAACCATTAGTAAAAAAAGTGGGGCCAATCTCCGGGAGCTTGCAGTCATAGCATTCAGCTGGGACGACGACTTCTTGTTGTGCAAGACTGGCCAATTCGTTCGGACTGGTATCGCTGACTACCATTGTACGAACATCCTCAAACGAACAACCATATTTCCGCACGCTGACAAACTCCTGGAGCTCGATGCATACTTGTGAAATGTGAAAGGGCTCCATAAATCTATCGTCCGTCTTTGGATCGCCTACTAGATGGAGTGATAGTGATAGGAATTGAGGTATCGACATCCCAGGGAGTACTATGCGATGATGCAACATCTGAAGAAACCACGGTTGGTGAAGGAACTCGGCATTGAGTTCAAGAGAAACATCATCAGTGATTTTGTGAACTGAAGTCATGTCAAATTCCGAGCCTTCTCCACGGAGCAGATGAGACATTGGGAACTTCGGGCCGGGAAAGAATACCCGTTCCTTCTCCGCCACGTAAAGGCAAGTTCCTACTGCTGGATTGGGCATTTCGATGTTTGTCCAGTTGAAGGTGACATATGTGTGATAGACTTGAAACATGACCCTATTTTGCTCTGGATGGGGGCCTGCCCCGAAAGATGTCACGCCGTGTTTCTGTCGAGCATTTTCGATTATGATTTTTTGCTCAGGGTCAAAAGAAGTGGATTCTTCAGCAACTAGGCGGATTTCTGTCACCTGGTGCAACTCTCCCAAGATGGTTACACCTTTTGTTCTGAATGAATACGGGTTCTGCTCTACCACCGTGGAGAAATCCGCCTCGAAACGTTTAAAATCAGTTCCAAAACTCTTGATTTGGAAATATGTGTCCAACTTAACTGGACCCCTCTTCTCTGGGGTTTGTCTTGATGTTTTTCCGCTGAGTGCCTTGAAAAGATCCATTTTGTGTATGGTCTTCGAAACCAAAGCCAGTATTGAGTTTAGGGTTTTTTCAACGTACCCCGACGAGGGCCAAAAATGCTGCCAGAATTATATCGTGAGCAATCTTCACGGGAGATGATCAATACCTTAATTGTCCTAGTCCTGCGATGTAATGCAAGTATTCTCAATATACGGGATATATATTCAACCTTCTTATGTATTTCTCCCAGTTATCCATCTACAAATTCAGCAGAAAATACCACACGAGACCCAAGGCCATGAACACCAAGGTAAAGGCAGCAAATGATGATCCGGGAGGGTCGTTGGGAGGTGAACCATTGTGTACGCAGAAGAGTAGGTAATCGGTAAACTGTGCATTGTAGCACAGTCTATCCAATCGGCTTTGCTCTTCACAGGGTCTAGCCTCAAGATTTGCTTGGGTATTAGTGTCGTCCTCGCCCTGAGGATTGCTCCAAGTTGGGGCACGACGATCGTTTGACACTGAATCTGCACTAATCCATGCATCGAACTTATGGCTTTCCTTGAGACGATGGACCAAACATTCATCTCTCTCTTTCATTACTTCGTGGGTGTAATCCAAAAAGACTTTAGCTGCGGTACCATTACAAAAGGTATCCCTATTGCGCACGTTACAAATCTTCCCCTGGTACTTATCAGCAAGAACCAGTGGATGAAACCTGCACCAGTCTATTGTAGGCCTATAGCAGAACTCCTCGAACAGCTTCCGTGAGACCTTTTTCACGTCCTTGTAATCGCCTCTATCATAGAAGATGGCTTTCATGCAGACAATAAAAAGTGATACGACGACGCAACGAAGAAAGATCTTATAAGTCTTCCTAAACGTTTCAGAAGGCTCGTCAACTGGCGTAGCCAGCACGCTTTGCAGTGTATGGGACGACTGGAGATTAGGAACAGTACTTTCTTCGTTTGAATGTGGGTATTGATCCGGGCCGGGGTGTTGATACTCTGTTCCTGAGAAATCAACGTGGTGGTGGTGATCCATGTTCAGGAGTTGGCTATTTATGAAAGACGCCTGTTGTTTTTTTGTGTTTGGAAGTGCTGTCAACTCAAAAGTGGAGGTCGGGTAAAAAAGAAGTGGTGGGTAGAAGAGAAAGAAGTAGCCACTTTTTGCAGCTTTTATACGCGCCAAAGGGTGTGATAAACATTGTGGAGGGCAATTCCGCCAATAGCCGAAAAACTTCCAATTTTTTTTTGAATCTTAAGGAATACGCCAGATACTCCTTTTGTCACGACATTTTGTAAACCCCCTGTGACCCGTATGTATGGCAGTTTGCAAGCTTATTGTCGGTTGACGCTCCGACATGCATGTTTGACGCAAGATCTTTTTCGCGAGGCTGCGTGTCTCATCGGTACAATTGTTACTAAATGACCTGTAACTTGACTTTAAGTATGATTCGTCAGAAGATTTTACAATCATGCCTTATTAATGACTCCTGGAGGTTGCTTACGTATTTAATTGAGCACTCCCTGGCTCGAAAGCGATTTTATGTGTGTCGCCGAGCTGCAGGTCCCTTGCATAAATAATAATTGGTTTCCTCGCCATAGTGCACATTTACTGAACACTCCCTCTATTAAGTAACAAATACGGTGTACTAAACTCTAGTTCGAACCCTAAATCACCATTAAATTCTTGATATGTGGCAATCTGTTAGCCAGCCTAAAATCTTCATGCAAGCGAATGTGTAGCGAAAGTTTACCACATAGTATATGCAGTTCGAAAGGTATTGTTGCATGATATACCAGTATCTTGAGAATAAGGGTCCTTAGTCCTTTGGGATTACGCTGGATTACAACTATGGTAATAGAAAAGCCAGTGTAGAGTGAACTTTAAAACAATTAAAGAGGTCCCAGTGTGAATGGTCTAAGAGCGCTATCATGTCTGCAGTTGAATCCAATGATGGTGTGTGATACTGTGAGTCTTTCAGATCCTCAATCACGACTATTTCTCTGAACTGCTCGTATTAACAAAGCCCCCTCCTTAATGATCCTTAGTGATATAGCACATAATAGAAGCTATATCGAGACTGAAATTGTTCTGGTAAGTCAAAAGATACCACATAGTTCGCAGCCCTCGGTTGTTCAGACAAGATACTCTCTAGAACAGTAAGATTCCCTCAATCAATGTCAGATTTTTGCTGTACCATTATTCTTGCTGGCTATTCCCCTATCAGAATACAGCTGAGGTCTCCAAGTATTATTTCAAACATCAGTCTAGACTTGAGAAGCGGCCCCAGAAGAGTGGCTTCTAATATGATAGCCTTTGAAGCATATATATGATACAATAGGGCTGAAATGGCAGGGTTCGTTTGTTTTGTCCAAGGTTCAACTCTGTGCCTGAATCTATTTCTTGGTGCGTCCACTAAGAGGATCACCACCACATACTTCATTCCCAATACAACTTCACCTATTTGTCTAGCTTTCGGTATTGATACTTGGGTGCAACAGCTTCCAGCATTCGATGAGGTGTGGGGAAAGTTGTAGAGAGGTCATTGTCCTCCGGGTCAACCTAGAACAGATTAACAGTTTCACTTCCGTCAAGAGTTGCATTGATTGTCTGGTTGGTTGTTTGGGAACCAGGTGAGCCTACTCTAACGTCCCAATGAATGGAACTTTCCGAAGCTTTCGTGGGATAGTCCTCCACCTTCTACATTATATATGATTTCATTAAATTCCAAACCGGCGAAGTGTGGTTTGGATGCTGGAGTAGAACCAGAGCTGATGAAGAGGGTACCAAGTAGCACACCATCCATGTTAATAGCGTTCAATGCACATCCATGTAAATAGCGTTCAATGCTTGTAAGGTATTTATCTGTGTAGCTGAGAAATATAGCAGAAGAGCTACAATTTTGTTTCCAGAAAGCTTAATTTTTAAATCCCACGATGGTCCCTCTACAGTTTGGAGTTCATGAGCTACTCCATCATGGAACTCAAACTACCAAAGTGCCATAATTTCAAGCACGCATTCATCAATGTTCAGGAAATGAAACAAAAAAAAATTAATCCAACAGAGCCTTCCCAATAACCACCATACAAAACTCTCCTTCAAGTGCAGAAGAACAGTCTTCAGTAGTAGGGCACACAGCTTATCGCGCATCAACCATTGACATATCACAGCGTCTGTATTGATAAGACGCGAAGAGTACTACTCTTCTTTTGACATATATTGACAGAAGAATTCGAACTAGAGCACATGTCAGAACAGGACGATCGTGCTCGCACCCACGATGCGGTGGTTTTCAGATTAAACTCAAAAGTGCAGCTACGCCTTTCAACGTTGACTTATGCCGCTTATACTATGATCGGTGTAGCGCTACTTTGGCCGTGGAATTGCTACTTGTCGGCTTCGTCTTACTATGGAGACAGATTCAGCGATACGCCGGGACTTTCAAAAGCATTCTCCTCAACGTTCATGTCGGTGTCAACAATCACCACGATGTTGTTCTCCTACTACTTGTCGCAGAAGCAGGAAGGCGTGAACTACCATAAACGTATTTTCGTCGGCATGATCGTGACGGTGGCGATCTTTGCGTTTTTGGCGTTGACGTGTTTTGCCGACTTCTTCATCTTCATGAAAGATTACACGTTTTTTGCCCTCCTCATGCTCACGGTCTTGCTCAGTGCCATGGCCTCCAGTTTGGCCCAAAACGGCGCCTTGGCCTCGGCAAACGTACTTGGAAGCATATACACCAACGGTGTAATGGTCGGACAGGCCATCGCCGGTGCCCTCCCGCCACTTGCCCTCATTTGCTCCATCTTGTTAACTGGCAAGGACAAACTAGAGGAGACACACCCACACAAGGCTCGGAACGCAGGGCTTACCTTGTACTTTTTGAGCGCGTGTCTCGTGGCTTTTCTCGCTGTTTTCATGCTTGGGTTGGCCAATCGCTATAAAAATGCCCACGCTTACGTTGCAGTGGAAGAAGGCGAGGACGAAGAACCCATCAACATCACGCCAAAAAAGCACGTGCCCTTCGGCTTGTTGTGGCAAAAGCTCAAGCTCATTGTGATGACGATTTTCCTCACCTTCTGCATCACCTTGGTGTTCCCTGTTTTCGCATCCACCGTGACATCAGTTCGGGAGAACTCCGAGAACCTCTTTTTCAAAAAAAGCATCTACATCCCCGTCGTCTTCCTCATCTGGAACATCGGAGATCTCGCCGGCCGTGTGCTTTGCGGCATGGCCAATTCGGCCTTCCTCGTAAAAAACCCGAACCGCTTGATAGTCTACGCTGTGGCCCGAGTGGTCTTCATCCCGTTGTTTTTGACTTGCAACATCCACCCCGGGAGCTCTGCGCCGTTCATATCGTCGGACTTCTGGTACATATTGCTACAATTTCTTTTTGGCCTCTCCAATGGCCAATTGTGCACCTCGTGCTTCATGGTTATTGGTGACAACTGCTCGACCAACGAGGAGAAGGAAGCAGCGGGCGGCTTCGCCACGGTGTTTTTAACCTTTGGCCTTGCAGTCGGCAGCGTTCTCAGTTACCTTTTGATCCCCATCGTCGGCTAAATATACTCCGCCTCCTAGACCCTTCCTTAGCCTCTGCCGCAGCCAAATGGTATGCGCGATCACGAAATCTACTATCTGTACCGCCTCCTACTACATCAACAAAACCGCTCCAAACCAGACAATGTCGTTCTGGGACAATAATAAAGACTCTTTTAAAGCATTCGGGTCGGCCACCGCCCGAGGAATTGGACGTGGCACGAAAGCAGTGTCTAAAGCTGGCTACGACACGTATAAGAAGAATGAAGCGAAAAGAAAAGGATTACCTCCCCCTGGAGAGACCCAGTCCGAAGCTGGACCCAGTGCTCATTATGAATACACGCCTCCTGACAAGGAGAAGCTAGCTGCGTTGCCTGGTCCAGTTAAAAGAAACGTTGGAGCCTACGACGTGCCTAAAGCAGGAGAGAAATCGAAATACCCTGCTCCAGCTCAGAGGCCTCTGTATGATAGCCAACTGAGCCAGCAAAGCCAGCCCCAGCTACCTGCTCAGCCTCAGCAGCAGTACCAACCAAACGCCCAACAGGGCTACCAGCCTCCTCAGCAACCGCAAGATGCTCAGGGTTATCAGCAACAGGGTTATCAACAGCCTCCACAACAACAGCAACAACAGCAGGGGTACCAGCAGCCTTACCAGCCTCAGCCGTATCAACCACAACCGTACCAACCACAGTCGTTCCAGCCTCAACCGTACCAGCCTGCTCAAGCTCCTGCTCAAGATCAGCAACTGGGCGCCCCTCCAAGCTATCAGCAGGCTCCCGGAACAACCCCTTCCTATGCTCAAGCTCCAGGTACGACGCCTTCGTACTCACAGGCTCCAGCAACTACACCAGCCTACTCGCAGGCGCCAGGAACAGAGCAAAGAGGAGCTCCTCCTCCTCCACCGAGAGAAAACTCGACATCCTCTCTGATCCAGCAAGTTCCGCAGACTCAGCAGCCTCCAGCCCAGGAGTCGATCTCTTCTGACTCCACGGGCGAGCTGAAGAAGGTGTCCATGTTCAGAGGAGACAATGATCTCTCTCAGTTCGCTCCTCCGCCTATCCACAAGGGAAGAAACGGAGGCACGGTTCCTGCCACACCAAGGTCGCCTGCCAGTCTGCATGCTTCACTTCCCTCCCGGGAGTCTGCCAAATCGCCAGAACCACCATCGCAGCCAGGTTCTATCAAAAGATATCAGAGCACGGCTCCAGATCCTACGCTGTTTGCTCCTCCTCCGCCAATGAGAAAGGAAAGCCAGGCGCCTCCGCCACGAACGAAACCCAAGCCTGCTCTGGTAATGCCACCCCAGCCTCCACCACAGGTGCAACCTCCACCACAAGTCCCTGCTCCACCTCAGGTTCCGGCTGTACCTCAAGTTCCGGCTGTACCTCAGGTTCCCGCTACTCCTCAGGTTCCTGCTACACCTCAGGTACCTCCTACACCCCAGGCTCCAGCGTCAAATCTGACCCCCGCTGCTGGTCCTCCACCCCAGTTGCCTCACAGAACGTCGGACACGTCTTCCGTTGCAGCAAACAAACCAATCAAGGCTCCTCCTCCAAAACCGGCAACAAAGCCCACGCTTCACACCGAGAACTCGGCGTCCTCTGTCCCTCCTAGTCTTCCCACAAGAGAGGCACCTCGGGCTAATTCACCTCCACCGCCATATACACTTGCTGAGCAGGCAGAGGAAACCCCAGCGGCTCCTGCTCCAAGTGCCGCCCCATCTGGTGCTCCCAATTTTGCGGCAGAGATTGCTCGTTTGAGAAGCGGTGGTGAAACGCAACCCGATGCTGCAATCCCGTCAAAGAAGGTTCCTCCTCCAAAGCCTGCTAAGCCAGTGAAGCCACCAAAGCCTGCAAAACCATCGTTTGAGCTGAAGCCTGCGCTGGCCAAGCCAGAAATTGCGCCAAAGCCAGAAATTGCAGCAAAGCCAGAAATTGCTCCAAAGCCAGAGGTTGCACCTAAACCGGCTGTTGCGCCAAAGCCGCCAGTGGCACCTAAACCAACAACCGAAAAGGAAGCCCCTAGGCCCACCCCGGCTCCCAAACCTGCTCCTCCAGTGTTACCTCGAAGGGAGTCGGTGCAATCTAATTCAAGCGACGTTGGCCCTGTTTCCCGTGGTCTTCCGCCATCCAATGCTATTCCCCCAAAACCAACGAACTCTACTTTGCCTGACGCCTCCCAAGCTAACCAGCCTCCTATAGTACCCATAGTGCCACAAGGAAGCCAGGCAGCAGTTCAGCAAGCTCAGCCCGCCCAGCCTGCTCCAGCTGCTCCTCCTGCTCCAGCTGCACAAGCTGAGGCACCGGTGCCGCCAAAACGTAATTATGAAAGAAAGGCCGCTCCGTTGCCTCCACAAGCTGCTTCGAGCCAACCAACTCCCGCCCAACCGGCCCCTGTGCCTTCTGGTCCTCCGCAACTTGATCTTGAGATGGGCACAGGATGGTATATGGCAACCGACAAGCCCATGGTGCTCCCCAAATCACTTGAGGGTCACAACTACTCCACTTCATTCATGTACTCGACCCAGGGCGGGCCTGGTGGTATGAAGAAGACATCGACCAGAGAGTTGAACGTTCGTCTCAAGGACCTTTCCAAAATCAAATACAAGTTCACCTGGGTCAATGAGGACATCAGTCTGGCCAATGTGACCATCGATCACTACATGCCCTCCCCAATCGACACCAGAGTTCCTCAACATGCTGATCTTGTTGCTTACAGTCAACAGTATGGTGAGAACGTCGCAGGCTACTCACTTCACCATGAAGGTCAACAAGTTGGTCGTGGTGAATGTTGGGATCTTGCCAAGTTTGCGTTGGAGCAAGGATGTGGCAACCAGGCCTTCGTTTCCACATACTACCACCACGGATTCCCAATACTCGAAGTGCATGGAACTCCAAACGGCCCTACGATGATGCGTCCCCAACTTGACGAGGTGCGTCGTGGTGACATACTCCAGTTTAAGAGTGCCAAATTTGAAAACAGAGCTACTGGGTCTACGCAGACCGCTGGAGACCCCGACCACACCTCTGTTGTGATTGACAAGGTGGGAGAGAAGATATATGTAGCCGAGCAGAATGTGGGCGGTGTCAAGGTCGTCAAGAGAGGAGAATACGAAATTGGCAATATCACGCAGGGATCTGTGGCCGCCTACAGGCCTATGCCTGCTGGGTGGGCTGAGTGAGGGTGTTGATATTGTACGAGTGTGGAGTGCGAAGTGATGCTCTGCTTGAAAAAAGTATCTCATCAGACCCACCCATATCCCACCATGCCTCTGGCCGAGCTCGTAGCGCCGGCGCTCTCGACTGCCCAGGACGAACAGACGTTTAGCTATGCGAAAATAGACAAAACTGAGATCAAGAGAACTCATCTCCATCTCCAGCCGGGCGAGAACTACCTTGACAAGATCCATGATTACTACAACCTCGATGAGGTGGCGGCATTTCTCGAGCAAAAGGAAGGCGACGAACCAAAATACAAAAGGGCCACTCTACAATTTCCTGATTCGTTGGTCTGTGACGCTGCTGCTGTGGCTCAACAGCTACAAAGGAAGCTAGGTCTCACTGAGGCAGCCCTTAATCTCCAGGAATCAGAAAGCTGTTCAACTAGCTGTGGCGAATCATCATGCTGCAAAGATAACACTACCTCTCCTAGTGAGGGCCAGAAGTTGTGGATTCTCGCCGACACTTCCTACTCATCCTGCTGTGTAGACGAAGTTGCTGCTGAACATGTCAAGTCGGATCTCCTCATACATTTTGGTGACGCCTGTTTGAACGCTGTTAGCAAGCTCCCCTGTGCATATGTTTTCGGCAAGCCGTTTGTTGATCTAGACGAGTTGGTGAAGCTGTTCCGTGAGCGGTACCCTGAAACCGATACCAAGATTGTTTTGATGGCCGATGCCCCACACACGTACATTTTGCATGAAGCTAAGAAGAAGCTTGAAGACTACTCAGACTTGGTCGTGGCTGACGTGGAAAGCTCCTCGCCTATTCTAGGATACCAGCCCTTGGAGGGTAAAGAAAGCCAGCTTCGAGCTTTAAACAGAGTATTCCATGGCATGGAAGATGAGGAAAGCGTTCTCGGCGAGTACGAGCTTTTCCATATAACTGCTCCCGAGACGCCTCGTCTCCTCCAACTCACCACCAAGTTCCTGCTGGTGACGCTATTTGACCCCACAGAAAACACCACCTCCCAGGGTCCATACCCCAACCTCATGCGCCGTTACAGATACATGCACATGGCTCGTACTGCCGGAACTATTGGCATTCTCGTGAATACGCTTTCATTGAGTAACACGAGAGAATTGATCAACGGAATGGGCAAGAAGCTCAAGGAGGCGGGCAAGAAACATTACATATTCGTGGTTGGCAAGCCCAATGTCGCCAAACTAGCAAACTTCGAAGCCATTGACCTCTGGTGTGTTCTCGGATGTGACCACCAAGGTATCATCGTGGACCAGAACAACGAGTACTTCAAGGCGATTGTCACGCCGTATGAATTGTTGCTAGCATTGAGTGACGAATTGTCGTGGACAGGCAAGTGGGTCACTGACTTCAAGAGCATTTTGGGTGAACTCGGGGAGGAGCCGGAGGAGAAGGCTGAAGAAGCCGATTCCGACGATGATGCCCCCGTTTTCGATCCCGTCACAGGACAATTCACCAGTGCTTCCAAGCCGCTCCGGAAGCTCCAGCATCTTCAGATCTCACAAAAGGGAGAGACTTCAGAAACGGATTCCACAGCTCTTGTTCAGAAGCTTTCGCTGGCTGTTGCGCTTAGAAACACCGTTCTGACTTCAGCCGCTCATCTTCAGCAGAGAGCGTGGACCGGTCTTGGAAGTGACTTCAGGGACCAGGAGGACGATAGTGAAAGCGACTACGATGAAAGCGGTGCTGTTGCTGAAGAGGGCACCTCGGGTATCGCTCGTGGGTACGAGTTTGATGTTGCGTCGAAGAAACAAGGGTAAGTTTATAGAAATGGGAACATAGCATGGATTGGAAAATGGTAGGAGTCAGGGTGGGTATATTCAATGGAGGGGGTAAATGCCAGGGATTAATTGGCAGACGTCGATAATATTTCAATAGCTAAGGGAGGTATATTGCGAGATTCACGTCAAGTCTTATCTTAGAGCAGTCCCTTACGAAGATTCAATACGGAACCCTCGAAGAAACCTCTGCAAGTGGATATCTCTGTTCCAATAAACCGGCAATCCCTTCTTATATGTGAATGAGCCTGACCAAATAGGCAGATAAGTAGGAAAAGAGAAAACTCATGAATCTTTTTAGAAAGAGGTGGGAAGACCGGCTTTTTATTTGTGTTGTGCTACTCCACCAAAGCCCCAGACTAGTAACCTCTAAATTTCAGTGCACTGAAAAACTCATCTAACCATAAACCCAGCACTTCCACAGAACCACTAAATAAAATAAAATCAACCTTTTCGTCAAATCCAAAGCCAATTGCAAAATCCCAACCCCCAAATCTCAAAATTTCCAAAAAGTAACATTTGTCCCCCTCGGCCCAGACTATCCTACACCTCCATATCGCATCAACACTTTCGCAGCCACAAGAAACTCCCATATGACAGTGGACACGCTAGTGCACGAGGCGGTGCGGCTCCATTGGCTTCTATACCCGCTTCTTTTCCTATTTAGGTACGTGATTTCCGTTTGCTCCTCGCAATCCCACTAACCCCAGCGTCTTCAGCGGATTCCACTGGGTCTACGTCCTAGGCTACCTCCTCCTCTTCTCCATAGACGCCTTGGCTGTGTATGGCCAGGCGTACAAGCTCCCGCTGGAATGGGTTTCGCTTGGCCAGAACGACGTGGTTTTGATCACCGGCGGGTCGCTGGGACTTGGGCTTGAGTTGGTCAAGCAGTTGCTTTTCGAGTACAAGGTGGGAAAGGTGATTGTGCTAGATGTTCGGAAACCCGAGTTTGAGTTTGGGCTGGCGCCGTTGGAGTTTCACCGCTGTGACGTGTCAAGAGAACACGACCTCAATTACACCTTGACAGGCGTGTTGCACGCTCTAGATGCTCGACATGAGCATGTCTCGGTGCTCATCAACAACGCTGGAGTCAGAAACAGCGGCAGTCTTTTGAATCTGTCCGACAGCGACATTCGCCACACCTTCAACGTCAACACTTTTGCCCAAATCACGGCGCTCCGAAGAATCGTTTCCCACCATATCAGACACTACAAACACCTGCAGCTCTATGTGGTTTCGGTGTCGTCCATATTGGCGGCATTGGCTCCTAAGAACGGGTCTGTTTACGCTGCGTCCAAAGCGGCTATTTTCCAAATCCACGAAAGCTTCTCCAGAGAGATCGCCAGCCTACCGAACATTCGTCTACTTTTGGTAGCACCCGGTCAGTTGACCACAGACATGTTCAAAGACGTTACTCCAAGCCGGACCTTCTTTGCGCCGCTTGTCAACCATATCCAGTTGGCCCGGCAAATTCTACAAAAAGCCAATGTGGGCGAAAAAGGCGTCTTCTGCTCGCCATTCTACGCCAATTGGCTCCCAGTGGTCAAGATCCTCCCGCTCTTTCTCCAGGACCTCTGCCGCTGGTTCTCCCAGATGGACGAGAAACTTTCGGATTCTTAGCTATACACTACTGGCTCTTCTTCTCGACCAAGTCGCCAAACTCACGCACGGCGGCTTCCTGGTTGAAGTAGCCAAACTGGTCAAACACCTTGTTGAACGGGATCTCCTTGGTCACGGCGCCCTGCTCGTTGCCATTGAGCACCACCTTGACGTTGTAAATCGGATCGTACTTGGTTGTCCATCCGTACAAGACGATCCGGTCCTGCTTCTTGGTGCCCGCGTACTTGTTGTCCTTGTATCCTGGTCCCGAGGTGAAGTAGAGCAAAACACAGCTCACAAGGAAGTATAAGCCGACGGCGCCGGCAATGACGTAGTATGTGTCTTTGAAGGGGTAATTCTTGTCCAACCAGAAAAGGAAACCGGCAATCGCCACGGTTATGCACCCGAGCCCGAGTTTGATATCTATCAAGGTGAAGGACTGTTCATAGCCAAAGTGGCCAAAAACAACCGGAAGCTGCTCTTCAAGAGCGTTCCTGAGCTCCGTGACCGAACTGATGCTGTTAGAATAACGTTTCAGAAAAATTGGGGCCTTACATACTTGAGGTTCACCTTCTTTCCACTGGACATGATGTAGTTACTACTTCGCGATGTGTCCAGACCTCCATATGGAGACCACAGACTTTCCTACACTGACAATTTCTATAGACCCAAAATAATATAGGAACCGCCCAAAATGTGTTTATGTTTATTGTCTCTTCAATCGTGGTAGCGTAGATCGAAAACTTTGCAATTTTCAATGCATTGCACTCCGGGTATGCTGTCTATGTCTATGTGGAAGAAAGTAAGATAAGCTTCTTCTTCTTTTTCTTCTTGCCCGTGCCACTGGCCTCCTGTCTCTCCATCTCCTCCCTTGCTTTACGGATCATCTCCTCGGCGTCCCAGGATTCCTCGCCTTCGAGACTTTGGATTTCAGAATGTGGAATGCTGGTGCCCCACACTGTTTTTTGCAACCGTTGAGCTTCTTGCCGTTCCTGCTCCTCCGGGGAGCTTTCGGGATCCTGAGACTCGGCACTGAGCGCTGGAAGGTCACGGTAATCCGAAATGCTGAGACTGCCAAAGTTGGCAGGAGGCATCCAGTCGTGTTCCTCGTGTGGGTTGTTTTCACGATTGAAGAATTCCCTGGTACGTCTCTCTTCGTCGTTGAGCGCACGGCGTCTCTTGGACTCCTCCAGATGGAACTTCTTGCTCGACTGTTTGCTTCGTTTCGTGAGATCGCCCTTGAACGTGTTCCATGTCTCTTTGCTGATATACTCGTTGTTCTGCCACTTGCACTCGAGAAAGCCAATGGTTGTGCCCTGGGGCAAATGCAGTAGGTATTTGTACTTGGTGAGAGCCGTCTCGGCGCTGAGCTCCTCGTACCTGATATTTTCGACTTGTGCTATTAGCGAGCTGGGTAGCTGTGCGTAGTCGTTGTTGTAGCTCGACTTCAACACCTTGATGTCAAGAGGCGAAAGCACATATACCGTGGACGACTTGAAACCTGTTTGGTAGTAGTAGAAAGTATTGCCATGTCCGTTCGACTTGTTGGCCTGGTGAGCCTTTGCATTGTCAGGAAGGTCCGTATTGAACTTGGATGACCAAAGAGCAAGATCGTCGTCGATGTTTTTAAGTGCCATTCGCATGTACTTTCCGTCGTCCTGGTAGAGTTCCTTCTCCTCCTCATAAGCTGCCTTTATCTGCTCCCTTTCGGCCTCGTACATGCTGACGAGGTATGCTAGGTCGCCCTTGAAGAACCGCAGATACTGGCTTAGATCTGGATCCTGCTGTGCTGCCCACGGGAACGTATCAATGGTTTCCTGGAGCTCTTCAAAGCTACGTGGCAACGGAAACACCCGGTGAGGCTGTCTGCTCATCAATGTAAGCACCACCTCGTCCTTGATCTTGGGCACCTCGAACCGCTCATCCACGTTATCGATCTTCACTGGCTTCACGTCCTTCTGCCGGATGATGGACCCACACAACGGGCAGTCCTTGTACTTCTCCACAATCACCTTGCTCTCTTTCTTCATCAGAGCCGGAACCTCGCTTTCCAAAAGCGATAGCAAACACGTCAAGCACAAAATATGGCCACACGACGTGATCATCCGCGGAGCAGTCAAATCCTCCAGAAGACAAATCGGACATGCATTGCCCTTGGGTACTATGATACGGAGAATATCGTCAGTGTCCACGGGCACATTCGGGTCAATCTGTTGCACGTTATAGTTTTTCCTGTAGTCCAACACAAACTTGTAGTTCACGTTGATAAACCGCATGCCGTGGAGAAACAAGTGCTGTTTCTTAGGCCCATTAGAGCTCCGTCTCCTCTGTCTGGGTCTCTGCAGCTTCTGGTACTCAGGCAGATCTCTATACAGCTGGAAGTCCAACAAGTGGTTTATGGAGATCTGGTTTTTCCGCAGATTGGCATTCACCTTCTTCCCCAGCCTGGCCTGGCGTTCCATCGGCAGAATGTCGTTGTTTAGGGCTTTGTAGTCGTTGCCATTCTGTCTTCGAGAATGGCGGTGCCCGTGACCATGGTCACCTGAACCTTGGCCATTCGGGGCTTTATGTGAATTGGAGTCGCTCATAACAGCCCAGTATTCATGTTATGCCGAGGCACAAGAAGAGTAGCTGATTCGAGTCGGTTGCGAAGGGCAGTAGCAGCAGGTGCAGGAGTCCACGAGGGACGGAGTTGGAGGTCCAAGGCCGATTTCCACGGGGTGGGAATTTTTTGGAATTTGGGGGGAACAGCGGTATTTATAGTAGGGGGAGGCTGGGGATTTTCGGACTTTGAAGGAAAAGTTATCGTGGTGTAAGGAAATAAGGGAGGTGGTGGGCATTCCATAGTGAGCGCTATCAGTCGCATCTTGCTGAGTCAGATCCCGACTTAGGTGCTCCTAGTATAACGATTTTTGGAAGTTTTGAATGGAGTTGCTGTAATGAACTAATGGGTGAGGATTGTCGATGTTCGTGATCTTTGGTATCGGCATGTTCGTGGTCTTTGGTATCGGCATGTTCGTGGTCTTCGTGGAATGCTTAGTGGCTGTAGTACCTGTAGTCCATACTTGCTCATACTCCTAGACTCCATCAAAGTCTGGGACAATCTGAATATACGAGGTCTTTTAGGATGTTATTCTTTCAGGCTGATTCTTGAAATCCACGTTTCCTTAAACCTTTTGCTATGTGCATTGTTCCGTACTGGGTATCTGCTCGTTCGCAGTTGCATGGGTTTGCAGCCATTCTAGCTGTGTGAGTATATCCAGTGAAATATTTAAAATAACAAAAATAACTTACAAAATAAACCACAAAACCTCCAAAACAGCAAACAGAATCGCAAGTGCCAATCACTTCTAGAAGAATTCCCGGGCTTCCGGCTATAAAGGTGCAAAAAGCCGCTTGGCTTGGCTTGGCTAGACATCCCATTGTGGTGGTGCTAAAACATGCCAACAGAACGATACAGAACAAAGTTTGTTGATTTTACGACGTTGCAGCGTGAAAACATATCGATACAGAAGTTTCCAAATTCAAGGAATTGCAAAAATGCCCATCATGTTGAAACATTAAGAAACCTACTAATACAACGCACCACAATCAGTACTATGCCCTGGTCTCCACATCCCACCATTCCTCTAAACCCCAAAAAGCCCGACCCTCTTTTATTTCAAACTCGAAAAATCCAACAAATCACAATTTAATCACCGAAATGTTATTCATCACCGCCTCTTCATACCCTCCACCTTACTGGCTGCGAATCAGCTATACCCTCGGTACAGCCCCACATCGAACCGCCCTCAGCCACCTCGAAAACACATATAAATAGAGGAATCGCCACCCCAAAACTCCAACCTCAAAATTCCTCTTTCTTCCTCTCCCAGCCCCTATTCGCTAGACCGCTCCCCCCAGAAAACCGGTATCTCCTCTTCCGACCTGCGCCTACACTTTCGCACCATCAACCCTCCACTATCTCCCAACCTACTACCTTCCTTCTTTCCTTGACATCAACAAAAACTCATGTCTTACGAAAGGGTGGACGATATGCCGGCGCTTCCGCCTGCGTATGTTCACGAGGAGGAAGACGAGACGGCGTTTGCGCTGGGCTCAGGTAGCCTGGTGCCACCGATTGAACAGTTTGAGATTGATGACGACGAAGTCTACGAGCCGGTCAAACGTGACAGCGTGATCAAACGGTTCGTGTTTGTCAGCAAACGTTGTGCATTCACCTTCAGAGACAAGGTTGTGGATCCGATGGTCCGCTGCATGAAGCCCATAGCTGAAGGATACAGTTTCTTCAAGAGGCTGTATGAGCTGCAGTTGCTCAAGCTCGGGAACCCCTTGGTGGTCAAGCGGTTGCTCTATGTGCTTTTTGTGGTGACGTTGATCTTTGTCATTACGGAAAATGAGGACACCGAGGGAATCAACGGCACCTCCGGAGGCGCCTTCTCTTCCGGCCACTTTTACGACACAGATAAGCTAGGCGACACCTTGGCCCATTACATCGAGGGCAAAACGCTCCAGGAGAACTTGGAGTACCTCAGCTCGATGCCCCACATGGCCGGCACCATGGGCGATTTGGCCTTGGCTCGGTACGTCGAAAGCTACTTCCACAATAATGGCATCAACAACGTGGACTTCCACGAGCTCGAGACGTTTCTTAATTTCCCTACTGGTGACTCCTACGTCAGGTTGGCTGACGGGTCTATCAGGGCGTCCTTGGGTCCGCAGAGCGGACACGAGCAACTCATGGCATTCAACCCAAACTCACCTAGTCTGGACGGCGAGATTGAGGCCCCCTTTATCTTTGGAAACTTCGGCGATGCTGAAGATTTGCAAAAAATAGTGGACGCTAAAATCGACCTTAAAAACACTGTGCTTATCGTCAAGCACGGAGGTGCTACTCCTGAGGCAAATAAGGTCTATGCTGCGCACCAACTAGGCGTGAAGGCTGTGGTGTTTATCTCACCAAAGGTGCTGTTTGCAGGCGAAGTTGAGGAGGATGCTATTAAAAAGACGAATGTTGGCCTCTGGAGGTATAGCGCCGGTGACGTTCTCAGGCCAGGCTGGTCGAAACACGCCACATATTTCTCCAACACCGACTGGGAGCATTCAGAAGCGACTGCCAAGATTCCTTCTATCCCCGTTAGTTGGAAGGATGGTATGGCCTTCATCAGCAGGCTCAAGGACAAAGGAGTTGACTTCGGCGATGGTTACTTTTCCGGTAGCATCGACAAGAACCCCAAGATCAAGCTTCAAGTTAAAAATACCGAACGCATCAACCACCCAATTTGGAACATTGTTGGTCACATACCCGGCCGTGAACAAGCTGAAAAGGGTGTCCTTTTTGGAGCTGCCCGTGACTCTTCGTGCTACGGAACCATGTCTTCCGCTAGCGGCACCGCCGCATTACTTGAATTGGTGAAGATTTTCTCTGGCCTTCAAAGAAAGTATAACTGGACTCCAGCCAGGTCATTGTATTTTGTGTCATTTGATGGAACAGAGAATAACCTCGCTGGTAGCGCCAAGTGGGTGGAAACTCGTAAAGACTCGCTCATGAGTGAAGGCTACACCTACGTCGATATAAACGGCTTGGTCTCTGGAGACACCTTGTCCATCCAGGCGCACCCTGTTATTCAAAACATTGTCAAAGACGCTATGAAGAAGGTGCACCTCACAGAGTCTCAGAAGGGTGATTCTCTTGGCACTCTTTACGATCTTTATAAGGCTCAAAATAATGGCAAAGACGACATCGAATACAGCATGTTGGAGGAGAGAAACTACATTCCTTTCATAAATGAGATCAATATGCCAGCGATGGATATCTCATTCAAGGGTGAGGAGTTCGTCGAAGGAACATGCGTCGATAACTTCAAAGCATTCACCGACAAGAAGTTTGATCCTGGAGTGAAAAAGCATAAGCAATTAGTTGAGGTGATTGCTAGAGTTGGACTCGAGCTTGTTGAGAATCCAATGATCCCCTTTGACTTTGAAATGCTTGCCCGGCAATTGGCTGATCATGAGAAGGACCTTGAACAGTACGTTGCGGATCAGATTAATGCATACCCTTCTCCGGTCAATACAAAGATTTCCTTCGACAATTTGAAGCAGGCAATCGGCAAACTCCTGCGTGACGCACACCTGTTACGAGTTCAGCAGAATGAATGGAAGAACTTCATTGACGCAAGCTCTATGGAGCCACCAGTGTTTGCAGCCACCAGACGTCTGATGAATCAAAATATGGTGTTATTTGACTCATACTTCCTCAGTAATGATGCTCAGCGCCCGAGAATTGGGTACGCTAACTACCTCTACGGAGCACCATTTGATGCGCCCTCTACTGACGATTCTTTGAAGTATCATTGGAATAGTTTCCCAATGGTTCGTGATGCTGCATCTGAAGGCAAGTTTGGGCAGGTTCAAACGGAGATCGACCGCGTTGCTAGTCAGATACTATCTGCTTGTACGGCGATCAACCCAAGGGGTTAATTTTGTGTAACATAGTGTGGTTGAATGGAAAGGATTTTGGGAAGTAATTGTAGCACTATGGCATATTGCTGGTTGGTGACCAGATTGTCATGCCTGCCACCCTTCGTTTGTGTTTTACAGTTTGCTTACGGTGTTCTGGTTATGATTTGTCTTTTTCCTTCTCTATATGCTCCGATATCATGCCATTTATTCTTTCCACCGCGTTCCTGAGGTCCGGCTGACACCCATGAAGATCTAGCGTGATGAAGTCATCTGCATCGTCATCTCGAAACTCGTAATCAACTCCCCAACATTCCTCATTATGTCTCGATAAATCTAGTTGATTTCGAATGTCGTAACGTAGATCTTTCGGTACGCAAATTGTAGCTGTTTCAGTGGACTCTTTGATTGTTTCCAAAAGTCTCAAGAGACCCTCCTTAGCCTGGATTACCAGTGTGCTTGATCCTCCCATTATCTGAACGCGATGATCACTATTGAAAGAGCCACTAGAATCGTTAAAAAGGTAAGCATATGCCAAGGATATTCCTAAGCTGGTCTTCACTTTGTGCAGCCGTTCCAATTCCAGTATGTTAGAAAATTCCCTTCCACTGACTCGAGCAAAGAAACTTTCATCGATATCACACACCTCTGTAAACATGTAGGGAATAAATTTCTTGACCTCTTCTTCAATCTCACATTTGAGGGCATCAACGTAGACCCTGTTTCCCGTAAGTGTGACAATAGACACGTCCGAGGTGCTTGTCTGCCATGTTAATCTGTTGGGTTGTCCATCCTTCCTAACTATGTGCGGTTTTATGCCATACTTTTTCTTGTAATCAGAGATATAGTAGTAATTCTTGAGATAATAAACCAACAAAGACGGAATTTCGAATACCACTGTGTATACCCCCTGCACTTTCTCGCAATGCAAAATCTGGTTGATGAGAGTGACCGTCTTCTCCACCCGCTCAGTTTCGTCAAACAAGGTGATCATGTCCTTGCAATCTTCATCCCCGTCACAATGAAACTCCATTTTGCATCCATCTTCTAGATAGTTGACCTTGAGAAGCGGCTGTATAATTGAAGGGACATTTAAAACCACTTTCGATCTGCTTTCTGATACCTGCCTTAATGCCTCCAAAAACGATTTGAAATCCGGTTCCGTTAGCTGTCTGTAAAAGAGAGCGTGTTGGCATACCAAATGCCTGCGATGTAATGCCAAAAAGTCTTTCCCCACGTGAAAAACCGCCTTTTCCCCCCATGGCTCAGGAAGACTTTCGCGTAACTTCCTCCTCATATCTTCTCGAACTTGTAGTCTCCAGATGAGATTCTCGTCAAAGCAGAGGTGAACGTCATTCGGCTTCACTGATTCGACGACACATTCTAGTTGACTAATAGATAGCATCACATCCTTTTCTTTTAGTCCAAACACCTCGATGTATTCAACATTGTTCATCTCCTTCTCTGGATGCGTTACCTTAACAGAGTTCTTATCACATACATTTTCAAAGCAAGCCTGCACTGGATTCAACGACAATACTCTCCTGACATGTTCAATGTTACCACCGTGAAGATCTATCAACATGAGTCTATGAGAAAAATATTTTGCAATGTGTTCAACAATCATCTGACGAGCCGTCGATACATCCGCTCTATGGCCCTTGATTATTATGTTCGTTTCGTCCTTGTGAACATTTTCTTTTGAATCTTCTGTTTCGACATTCTTAACAGAGCTCATGAAACCAGTGTACCTCAATGCAGAAGGAATAACTACCGAATCACATTCAAGATCTGCAAAGGAGCGAAGAAGCTTCATAACTTCATACACTGTATCCTTGTAGCCTTCCACTGCTAAAGTGTTAATTGGTGAATGGCCAGTAAAGATGGATACATCATTGAAGCACTCCTTGGCCCTTATTCTCGCTTCGTAGCGATATAAGCCGTGCGGGAAGTGACAAAATTCGACAATCTGTGACAGTACAAGTTTTAAAATCTGGGTCTTTGCTGCCACACAATCCATTTGGCTGCCCATCACCTTCACTTCCACCGAAGCGACATAACGAACCTCACCCGACGGGTTTTGTTTGAAAAGCGCAAGCTGATCAACATCATGATAGTCCTCGAAATCTATTGGTTTACATAAGCGCCTGCGGTCAATTTTGATATCAACATTGTGCTTTCTCTTGATGGCTCTCACTGTGCTTCCTTTCATTCCAACTACGGCACGTCGTGATCTTGAGGGAATATCAAACGTGATCTGAAATTTGCTTCGAAACTTCTGCTTGATGAGTGTTTTGGCATTCTTCACGCCTTCCTGGCTTCCATGAAGCAAGAAGTTGGTCTCATCCTTTGTCTTCGATATCTTCACAACAGCTCTGCTTGAAATGCAAATCCGACTCGTGGCCTTCTGCACTTCATCCACAGACAACCCCTTGAGCTCTTCACCTGCCACAGTGAGGTGATCGTAAGTGGGACTTAAGGAAATTTCAGATGGGACAATCATGGTCTATGGTAATGGAGAGGAAACTCTCCTGAAATATATAGACGATTCATCAAACCATCCAATTGTTTGAGTCACATTATTTGCCACTGAAGCCCAATTGGGGTAGGAGGTCTTCGCCACCTTCTTTATTATCTAGTGACTCATCTGATTGAAGGTCGCGACTAGGTCCCATGAAATGGGCCCAGATTTTATTGTAATACTTTCATCTCTTTTATTAGGTGAAATCTGCTCAATTTTCCATTTTGCAACTTCCATTAACGTGGTAGTCCTTTTTTCTAGTTTCGTACCACAAAGAAAGAGAGCTCTACAGCTCCAGGTAATCAAATACTGAGCTTCCTGTATATATAATCCTGCATGTATGCTGCATTCATAAATGACGATATAGTAAACCTGCATTTATCATCCTTCAGAAATCCTCTCGGTGGCCAAGCTGGCTAAGGCGCGAGACTGTAATGTGATTGTAATCTTGAGATCGGGTGTTCGACTCACCCCCGGGAGATTTCTTTTTGCACTTTAAACACCTTTTTTTTCTGTACATGCTCTACTTGTATATTCTATTGTTGGGGTGCTGCAAGGGCTACGAGATCCTCAAGGTAGAAGTCTCGCGACCTCAGTTGCGGATCAAGAGCATGGACAGCCTCTGTGAGTTTGCTCAAATACTCGAAGTTAAGACCGCTGGGGCCCTTGCTTTTCTTGATAACCGCAGCAGTATCCTGGACGGTTTCAGGACCAACAAACGCCTCATTGTCGATAGTCCCGATGTAGATGAAGGACTCGATAAATAGGTCTCCGTCCTGGTTTCTTGGTATTTTGCTCACCACCGCCTCGGCCTCGTTGGGAACACTGTGGACGTGGAACCTCACCTTGTGGAGCGTGTATCCATTCTTTTCCCGGACGTCAAGGTACGCTTTCATTTCTTCCACATGTTCCGGTGGAACGTAGTATGCCACACCCCAGACCTTCAAGTCGTCCTCCTCAAGTTCGTCGATTTTGTGCTTCACATCGTGAATGTTGTTCGCCAAAGCCTCGCTGGGAAGATTCGCCACTGACTCCGTAGCGATATTCAGCTCACCAACCTTTGGATTGAGCTCATATGTGTACAAGTCATTGTGGAATCTGGAGTGGTCCTTGAGGTCCTGCAAGGACATGAGAGTAGCCACTCTGCCGGGGCTTTCTGGAGTGCCTCTGTGGTCCGAGGAGGATTGCCAGAATCGACGTATGTAGCCTTTAAGAGTTCCAGTGACTCTGAAGTCGTAAAGTGGAGGAGGCTTAAAGATGAGCAGGCCGTAGCCGATGATCCACATTCCTTCTGTTGTCATGGCGGGTTGGTTTTTTCTATGAGTGGGTTTTTTGACTTTGTGGTGTGGGTTTTGCCCAGATCTATGTATTAGTGGAGTTGATGAGAATAGAACTGTGGATCCAACTGAGTATCGTGTACACCAGTGCCTCCTGTACCACCCCAACGGTCTGGCAGATCAAAGTTATTTTTGCCATGCGGGGATGATCTTGATAAGTTGGGGTAGATCATGAATTTTTGATTCAAGAAAGGCAGTGGTGGGTGTTTGGTATTGTGTTGGTGTAAGCAAGTGAACCTTCGTTGCAGCCGTTTCGCAGCCACTTAGCCCACAATGCCTTCAGTGTTGGCGTAGGGTGAATGTATGAATTGTTTTTGGAAAGATGAAAAATGAAGGGTCTGGATGGTTTGGGATAAAAATTGATTGGAACGGAGCCCAGAAAAAGGGTTCATCAACGTTAGACCTCTGGTTGTGTCGTCAATCACAGCGTTACAACAACGAGACGTACTGTGACCATTCCCCAAGGAACACCTTGTTTCTAGCAAGCTCCAAATAACCATACTTTTCCATCCCACTCATATGATGAATCTCCAACCGTCGCACTTTGTGCTCATTCTTCTCCACCAACACCATTAGTGCTACAAAGCCAGCACAAGCTTGCTTGCCCTGCTCAATTCCCACCATTTAAGCGCCGACCAATCACAGACCCATAAATAACAAAAATTCAATTTCCTTAAAGCGACTTGCCATCCCACTTTATAGCTCCCTTGGCCCCCTCTGTATGGTGACCTCACTGTGAGACATCCTCAGCCTTGCTTGCGTGCTTCTCCCGTACATTCCCCTCCATTCTCCACCTCTATCTCTCGCCAATTACAAAAGATCATCTCCAGATCAGGAGTCACACTTCACATAGACCGCTGTAACGCCTCGATTTTGATACCCATTGTGTGGACTGAATTAAACGATACCTTCTATTGTTAGATAAGCGCTTACCTAAGCTTGCCTGATGCATCACCCCGGACTACCCCTAGGCCGATTGGACCGTCTGAGAAGAAAACAAGTAACATCTCCTCGACCAACATTTTTCAAGTAGTACATCTGCAACCCCAGACGTCAAAAATCTGTCATTCGGCTGTTCAAGCTTTGTTCGTTTCTTGGCGGCCTGCATACTCCCCTACCATATATCATCACGAAAACCGTCTTTCCGATAACAGATGTACACCAATGTGGTCCCAGCTAGAGGTATGTCGGTCGTGTTTCCCCGTTTTTGTTTCGTGTTTTTCGCTAACCCCAGATTGAACAGTCCCATATTGCTTACGCATGTGTTGGAATCTTCAGTACGCTATTCTCGCTAGCGTCTCTCTTCGTCAAGGAACGGTTGTACATTGGTGAAGCCACCGTGGCGACTATCGCCGGCTTGATCTTCGGACCTCACTGTCTAAACTGGCTAGACCCGATCAACTGGACGAATTCCGACCATTTGACCTTGGAGATATGCAGAATAGTCTTGTGTATCCAGATTGTCGCTGTGGCGGTCGAACTTCCTAGAAAATACATGAAAAAGCACTGGCTCAGTGTCACCATCTTCTTGCTACCTGTCATGACTTGTGGCTGGTTGGTTGTTGGTCTTTTTATTTGGGCCCTTATACCGCATTTCAACTTTGCTGATGGTCTTTTGGTGGCGGCTTGTGTCACTGCTACTGATCCTGTTTTGGCGGCTGCCGTTGTGGGTAAGGGTAAGTTTGCAGAGAGGGTTCCTGGACATTTACGTAACTTGCTTACCGCCGAGTCTGGCTGTAACGATGGTATGGCCTTTCCGTTTATTTTCCTTGCGCTCAACTTGGTCACTCAGGCTAATCACGCGAAAGAAGTTGTCAAGGACTGGTTTACACTTACAATCTTTTGGGAATGTTGCTTCGGCGTTGTGTTGGGCGTCGTCCTTGGATACTCTTTGAGAAAGGCCGTGGCATTCGCTGAAAACAAGGATCTCATTGATAGAGAGTCCTTCTTGGCGCTTTTCATTTTCCTCGCCTTTGTGTCCGCTGGTGTCGGCTCTATGCTTGGTGTTGACGATCTTTTGGTCTCGTTTGCCGCCGGCACAGCGTTCGGCTGGAACGGTGAATTCGCTAGAAAAACGGAAGAGTCGCATGTTTCGACCGTCATTGACTTGCTTCTCAACTTGTCTTTCTTCGTTTACTTCGGTGCTATTGTTCCCTGGCCTGATTTCAACAACAGTGATCTCGGTCTTGACGTTTGGCGCTTGATCATTCTTGCGTTCGTCATCATCTTCCTTAGACGAATTCCAGCCGTGCTCGCCTTGAAGCCGTTCACCCCTGATGTCAAGACATGGAGAGAGGCTTTGTTCTGTGGCCATTTTGGCCCTATCGGTGTGGGTGCCATTTTCGCTGCCATTCTTGCTAGAGGTGACTTGGAAGCTCACTACACCGATGAGGAAACCCCATTGGCAAATCTCACTGATGAAACATTCCCTCACTATCAGCTCATCAAATGTATTTGGCCTATTGTCTGCTTCATCGTTATCACCTCGATCATTGTTCACGGTTCTTCCGTGGCCGTCTTGACTCTAGGAAAACGTTTGAACAGAATGGCTATCACAATGACCACAACCAATACGCATGATCAGGGACCTTCCTGGATGTCTCGTTTGCAGAAGCTCGACAGAACTACTACGTCCTACTCCTTGCACAGTATCGATACGGCCCATCCTGATCTCAAACCAGAAGACACTGCCTCCTCCCATACTGGGGTCAAAGTTAGACCTTCTGGAGGCGCTAGAAGAAAGAGAATGCAGAAGAAGCACAATAAGCGTGAAACCAAAACCACCGATGATGGAAGACATCGTCCTCAAACTGAGGTTTTGCAGTTGGGCAAATCACATTCCCAAGGACCCTCCAAAAGCGATGGTGGTGATTCTGGCGATACCTCTTCTACGTTTGCTGAGAAGAACGAGAACATTGACCATGAAATCAACGATGAGACGTTGAAGGAGGTCAGAAACAAAATTGCCGTCGATTCAGGAAAGCCTCTTGAGGACCTTGATCCAGACATTGACCAGATTCCTGCCGCTATCTACAAGGAGGGCAACCATATCATAGTTGAGGACCAGGAAGGTGAAATCATACAGAGCCTTCCAATGAGTGCTCTCGAACAATGCCAGGAGACACCAGCGAATGCAGAAAATGTCAGTATTCATTCTATGGACTCGTTGAGACGCCATATGTCGCAGTTCTCCGCCATGTCCCACAACCTGGGAGTTTCTTCAGATAGTGGTGAGTCCATTGGCAAGAAGATCACAAGAACAATGAGTCACAAGAAGAAGGCTTTCGTCAAGAAAGACGGAGGCAAGAAGTTCTTTGCTCACCAGGTTGATAACTTAATCGTTATTGAAAATTCCGACGGTGAAGTCGTCAGACGTTACAGAGTCAACAAGCACGTCAATCCAAACAAGCATACCGCCAGAGCAAGACTGGGTTCCATCGTCAACAAGGCATTGTCCCTTGTGGGTATCAAAAACAAGGATCCGTCACCGGCTGATGCAAACGCAGCCAGAGAGTCAGCTCTTGACTCTCCTCTTCCCGTTGGTGAGTCCGAGAAGGTTGTGATTCCTCATGACGTATCGCCCCACCAAGATGAAGAAAAATTCAACAACTCGATGCAACACAAGCTCAGTGGTCTTATTGAGGCTGAAACTGGCGTGGACAGTAATCATGTCGTCCTCGAGGAAGAGGAAGAGCCATGCGACACTGATGAGTACGACGAGCTGGAGGACGAAGAGACTGAGGTGGAGAAGAGAAGAAGACTAGCTGCATTGGGACAACTCTCGCACAAGAGAGATGCTAGTGACGAAGAACGTTAATTTAATGAGGTAGCATTAGCTCTATATAGCATTTGGCATTACATCCATGGTTTAGCAGCCACCGGTAATTATACATATCTTATTTAATGAGCAGCCTTTGGGGCGTTTGGCAACTTGGCCAAGGCAGCCTTGATGCCGGCCACACCCTTGAGCAAGTCCTCCTCAGAAATGACCAAAGGAGGAGCCAAACGGATGATGTTGTCGTGAGTAGGCTTGGCCAAGACGCCCTCGTCCTTCATGAGCAAGCAGAGGTCCCAAGCGGTCCTGCCGTTGGTCTTGGCCTCGTCAATGACAATGGCAGACATCAAGCCCTTGCCTCTGACTTCG